GGTTGCGTGAACAAAAGAGACAAGGGCAACGGTGGGAAACTGGGAATCAAAGTTCAAACACATTACCGAGGTGTCTTGAGCAGTCTGTCATGCTGACCACTCGACTGCCACAGTCCCCTGATATGGTATATAGATTGCACCAAAATAAACAAGGAAACTGATTGGCATTTTCGGCAGAAATCCAATGTATGAGCACTCATTTGGGTAGGTCTTTCATACTGCAATACATGCCATCTATGCCTTAGGAAATCTTAATAGAGATTACACTAACAAAATAATCCTCATTAGATCAGAAAGGCAAGCAAGCTAGCTGAGGTCTAATGACAAGAGCAGAAGAGTTGCAGCTCCTCTAATTCACCGAGTGCCAGTTGGTTTTAAAAAAAAAATCAAAATTTATTTATTACATTAAACAAATAACTGAATAAATTTTTGACAGTTTCCTATTTGCATCAAAAATACAAAAACATGTTAGTACATCTAATTAAATCTTTCAATTCATTATTCTTCTATTTCGACCTCAAGAGTTTAACTTATGATTTTTCCTTCTCGAAGGTGGGATAATAGGTCATCTCAAAAAAACAACAACCAGTTTTTCTTTTAATCCGTCCTCAGGTGAGTTAACACAGTGGTTAAAACAGTGGTTGTCATTCATTAATATTTTGTAACAGTTTATTTAAAAAAAGAACCAGTGTGGTACATATTTAAGTCTTTTTAAGTAAAAACGTTTAAAAAAGGTCTGTAATAAACTATTACAAAATACTAATGACTGACGGTTGAAATGAAAAAGTTAGTGTCATAAGCGGGATTCGAACCCATGATCTTCGGCTTACACCACTAAATATAAATGCATCTAATTAAAGCTCAGTCTTAAGAGATCAAATTGTATCTCTTTTTCCATTGCTGATTCAAGCCTAAGATGAAACTCAAAAAGAAACACAGTCGGCTTAAATCGATTTTATTTAGCTTGGATAAGTCCCAGATGGACCAAATTAGTATAGAAGAGACAAATGGCTAAGAGATGGGTTCAATTTTGCTAAATAAATTGTCTCCCTTTGGTTTGATATCTGAGATGCTCAGCTGCATGGAAGGATCCTTTCGTAGTCCATAGCAAAGTTCAGACTCGTGTCCTAATCAGGAAACTTTATATCTTGATGCACAAATGTCGCATTAAATGGACATAAAGTTATGGTGCATCAGCAAGTCTTTTCGTTCACAACATAAAATATTGTGGACAGTCTCAATCTTGCTCGAGAAATCAATGGTATTAGACCTGAAGAAGACATGACATTTGATGAGGTAATTATGGTTAATGTTGCACCCTTGGGGCAAAACTGGATAAGTAGACATTTGATACAAATTTAATTTTTCGATAATTTTTTTATTGTAGTCAAGTTACATTAAATTCTAATCAGTCGTCCCAGTAAATAGGTTTTTTAATTTATTTACTTATATCTTGACTTTTTCGTACTTATCCCATTATGCACCAACACTTATCTAGTTTTTACTACTAGTTAACACAAATTTAGGGCACTTGTTGATTATTATACCGCCCCTTTTGCTGATATTTATGTATACATATATATACTTTGCTAGGTGGGTTATATTTAAAATGGGATAATTCAAGTTGTATTAAAAACCACTAAATTTTACAGGTGAAAAAAGATAAAAATGTATCCCTTTCGTGCACCTAGGCAAATATTCATTAGGAATAAGGTTCATTTATTATATTCCAGTAATAGTTATTTGAGTTCACAAATAGACAAGTAGAAATATCAAAATGTTGACTTTTTGAGATGTGTAAAAAGGAACATTGCTTGTAATAGAAATTGTTTCTTTCTCGACTTTATCAATTAATTAGATTAGAATTACTGGATTATGCACATCCCATTTTGCCAAAATTTAATTTATCCAGTTTTGCCCTGAAGGTGCAGAATTCACTTAACATTTTTGTAATGGGAATCTGGTTTTAGTTGCATGGACTGTCATTTAACTGCCACAGACCAATAAACTTCTTCTGAACATTATGGGCAAATTGATGTTCTTTTAAGTCCACCTGCCTTGCCTCAGACGTAAGTCAAACTTCACCTAACTACAAGTTTGACACATATTGGGTCCATTTACACTCACAGGTTTTGATGTTACTCAAATGCCTGTTCAGCTTTGCACAAGAACTTGCTAGATTTTATGCAGAATAAGTTTCAGAGGCCTGCAACATCTCCCCAAAACAAATGCATACCAGAACTATACACCATGCAAAAATGGTAGATACATCACATCAGAAATTGTACTTTAAGTTTCTTAAGTTATATAAACTGACCCTTGGGGACTGTGGTAGTCAAGTGGTCAGCATGTTAAACTCTCATGGGTTCAATAGCAATGACTTTTTTATAAATTCATTTTATTTCGTGGTCTGATTGACCAAATAACTTCTTTCAATTAACTAATCTTTTTATGTAAGGTACTGATTGAAATAAAAAGTTAGTGTCACGAGGGGGATTCGAATCACGACCTTCGGCTCAATACACTGCTGCTCCAACCACTTTTTTTATTACCACCAATTTTACTTATTACGTTCATTACATTTCATTGTCTGATTGACCAAATAACTTCTTTCAATTTATGTTATAATTTTTTATAAAGAATTTTCATTAACAAAAGTATAGAAAATAATTGGGATTTTTCTTTGTTGAACTTTGATTCAAAACTTGAAATATGATCATTACTGATCCTTTTGGACTAGGATCCATATCAAAGGAAGGCAGATCAAAATGATCTGTTAGAAAATAATTGTCAACTTGCTCATCATTAATTAATTAATTTTAATCATTTTAGTTTTTGTCTATCCTTATCATTTTGTCTTTCAGGTAGGTTTTGCCAGTTCAGCTTTTTTGTCGAATTTAGTCGTGGATTTTGTTATCTTGCCTCTCCCTACTTATACCCAATTTAATATAGTTATTAGCTCAAACACGCCATCTTCTACATTTAATTGTCCGGTAAAAATAACCAGAATAAGAAAATAAAAGACGGTCTCTTGATTGATGAGCTTTGGATTAACCCACCTTAGTATACAACACTACCTTCAACCTTCAAAAATAAACTTACAATTGTAAAAACATAAGTTTATTGTTTTATGAATCCTTCATTTAAAGTATAAATTTATACAGTTATAATATAAGGAAATCATATGATTGTTATTGTCTCTGGGTTATTATATTTCATACATCAACTCATATGCATAAGTATGTAGTAGTACAGTATAAAGTAAATTGTAAATATCTCTTTAAGAAGTATCTATTTCAGTGTGAGACCTTTAAAATATCGTTTATTTACCTTCTAATAGTTTAATTTATTTTTAAGTACTGGCCAGATTAGAACTTAGAAAGTGTATTAAATTTTACAAGTTAATTTGTAAAGTGATAAATTTACTTTAACCATAATTTGGATTTTTACTTAATTTCTGTTGTAAGCATTTATTAAATAAAGCTTACAATAAAAACTACTCATGCAATGGATATTTTATATTGATGATATTTGATGAGTCGATAGCAACGTGTTTCAAAATGTCAATAAAAAGGCATTTAATACAGTATTTACATAAATTTATATATATTTTTATATAATTAAACAGATAGGCAGACACAATAATTTTGTATTGTTAGAAAATGTGGGCTATTAAAAGCTTAAACAATTTAGTTAAAATACAGTTTATGTATACATTTGTTATTATAAATATGATAATATATTATTATTTATACATGCAGATATAATCTACAATGTATAAAAATTAAAAATAAAAACTCTATAGAAAATATCTTTTAGTGAGCAATCGAATTGCTTTTTATTACTGAATACTGTTGTACGGATATTACATAATAATTTTACACATTTTTGGCAAAAAGTGAACATTGCAACATCACAAATTCAAAAAACAAATGTTTTAAAGAAAATCAATAAACCAGGCCTGATTGTAAGTCAAATCATTTTTCTTACAATGAGAGGAAAAATTGTCAGTATAATTGTAAAACACTTTCAAGGCCTTAATATCACTCGGTGAGCTCAAAATATTTATTTACAAATGGTCCTAATTCACTTAAATACAATCTATACAAAGTGATTACAAATTAAATAACAATTTATAAAAACAAATTTGGCATTTCCTATTTACAGGAACGAATCAATGTGTAACAGTTAATGTTGCTAATACACTAACGAGGGAACAAGACTGAATACAAAAGTGACACCTAAGGATATTTTTACAGTCTTATTTTCTGTAGGTTTTATTTATTTATTTATTTTTTTTTTCATGCCAATTGCTTCATTGATATGGACATGGTATGAGGTAGTAATTAATCGTCAGAAGGATTTAAAACTTTTATTGATCTAAAGTTAACACAAGGAGTATTTTTATTAATTCAACTCACCACAGTCATTTTCAATTCCAAAAAAATCTATAAATATCGCAATAATTTTGTATGTCTCATACTATTAATGAGAATACTGTTTTCAGGAACTCTATTTCAAATAGTTTTCCATTGCATTGTGTGAACTGTCAAAATTATTCATAGGTAGAGATCAGTCCAACTATTGGCATAAATGGCTGTATAACTATGCTCTTGCTTCGAGGAATATCAATTTGATACTCTCATACTCACTGTTTTCAAATTTATTCTTTTGATAAGATATGTATATTAGCTGTTCACCGTTTGACTAGAATAAACACAGGGCTAAAAACTTGTTTTGTTCGAAGGCAGTGAGCTTTTGTCTTTTATTTTGGCATGAATTATTTTGTAGACAAATTGATTGTCGAAAATTTGCAACGATATTTCTTTTACAGTGTTCAGTGTAAATTATAGCATCTATTCATTTTAAAAAAAAAAGGCTCAAACAAAGGAAAATATCAAATAGTTATCTTTTTTTTTAACGCAGTATACTCGTAAGAATATAAACTTAACAAATTTATATTTAAATATGAACTTAAATAACTTGTTTAACAAAAAAAGTTTATATTACTATTTACTATCCACAACAACAAATTTAATCATAAACTTAATTACTAAAGACAAGATTATAAAACAATTTTCAATCATTGCAAAGTGTCATTATAAATGCAAAATAAATATTTAAAAACTTGTTTTAAAAACAATATTTTAAACCTCTTACGAATTCTTTAAGAAAATATTATCTAAAATTATTTCTAAAATTATTAGAAACCAGTAGGGGACAGAAGCACGATGTAAGAATTCTTCGCTCACTCACCAATAATAATACCCTGATATCTATTCATATTGACCTTCCATGAAGGACACAATGCCAAATGTACCTCTTGCTACTAGGATTAAGTAAACCTCATGTAATTGTACCTTGGTTGCCATATGGTTGCTACTTCAGACGGAACGTAAGTTGGCAAATTCCAATAAATCCTAGGAAATATTGTAGGTATCACAGAATGGCGCCAAAGTTTTCCTATTAATGTATCATTGTTTTAATAAATGTTTTGAAATGTGTGACGGTCGTATTTACCTGGAATGATATATAACAAAATAGATTAAAGGGGATATCAGCTTGGCGTGTAATCTTCTAGTCGAGGAGGTTTTGATCTAAACCAAGACATCCTCCATCCTATAGTGTCCTTCAAAAGACACTCTTCTTCAGCACTCAATTTCAAAAGGGTTGCAACTGCTTTTGTCAAATGAAGAGCCTATTTGTCACAAAATTTAGTATTGATAAAATACATTTAATACTTTACACAGTATTTTAATTACCTCGTATTCTCTGCTTGTTAAAAATTTCATTATTACATTCTTCATATAAAGAAAGTTTACTTCCGTGTCACCATTCTCTTTCAAGTTTGACTTGTGTGGAGTAGAATGGTTATGACTGTTCATCATTTCTGTGCCGTCATTTTCACAAACTTTCAGCTCCTTTTGCAAAGTTTTCTTCATATCGGCTAATTTCTGTTTCAAAACTTTAATCGCCTAAAACAAACAAAAACTAGAAATTACACAAATACAAATTTCACTTAATTTTTTTACCTTATTTTTCTCAGTCACTTGTTCTTCAAGATCAGTGATTTTATCTCTAAGACCCTTTTCAACATATTCCGTTTCTTTCTCGTTATCTCTGATATTTCCCAGTTCAGTTGAAAGCTGTTGGATTTCTTGAACATTTTTGGCTAAAATCTGTCAATAGATCATTAATAAATGCACTGGCTTCAATTGAAAACTGAATAGACTACCTGATCTTTCTGTTTAAGCGTTTCTTCTAAACTGTTGACTTTTCTAAGATACTCTTCGACATCAGCTTGCTGCTGCCTGAGATCTTGTCTCGCCATGTCAACCTCCTGTGAAACCTGGGCATTTTTGAGCAAAGCGTCATTTTTGGCGTTCTTTTCCTTTTCCAGTTCGTCTTGCAGGTTTGTCAATTTTTCCTGTACCGCCGCTAATTCAGTATCCAGGCGTGATTTTTCATCGGCAAACTCCTGTCTGACAGAATTAAGTTCTTGCTGGGTTGTCTCGTATTTCTCTTTGAGTGGTTTAAGCTCATTTTCTAGTTTCTTCGATGTATCTTCATATTGTCGTGAAAATAATTCAGTGTCGTACACCTTCTTGGTCAACTTTGAAATTTCATCGTCTCTTGCTGCCTATCGACATACACAAAAAAAAGATTAAAAAAATTAGTCATCTTATTTAAAAAAATTAGTCACAATCTTCAATTGGTATTTTGAAGATTTGTGTAAAATTAAATTTAAATTAAACCTGGTCAAAGATAATTTTTTGGCAGACAGCAAATTTATCTCTTATACTGGTTAATTCAGAACATAAGAATTCCATTTTATTAAATTAAATTTTAAAGCATGATCACTTCATGAAAATACTATTCATACTACCGAACACAGACATGAACAATATACTAAAACGTTTTAAATGAAAGTTAAACATCAGGGTAAAGTGATTGGAAGGTATATACATGTTTTACTGACACTCCGTTTTAGGCTCATGGGTTTTGATGTCAGTCAAATATGTTTTGGCTTTGGACCATCATCATTTCCACCGAAGATGGTTAAGCCAAAATGTGTTTCAGTGACATCGATACCCATGAGTGAAAACAGACCCAGTACCAGTTCAACATGTGTTCACCGACTCCAGACCAATACCCACCATAATAATTTTCTGCTAATTAAAATTTTTCGTCTATAGTTCTATAGAAACTTCATAAATGAACTAACATTTAGAAAAACAAATCAAGCTGTACTCTTTCAACGAAATGTACTTTTTATGTATATAATTACCAAGAGAAAAATATAATTTATTCAAATTTCCATGATAAAATTAATCATAAGAGCTTTGGAAAATGATTTACATACAATTGAAATGATTACAACACAATTATTATCAATAAATAAATTTTAATAAAATAGGCAGAACTACAAGAAATGCTCAAGCTTGTAAACATAAATCAGGATTTTTTTTTATTATCTCCAAAGGTAAAAGAAGTACTAAAACAAATTTTAGTAACAAAAACACACAATTTTTTTTAAAGAATTTTATATGTATATAGTTCATGTTATTTCAATGGTTAATTATGTAGATCATATCTTATTTAAGTTACTTCTTCAAAGTAAAACCATAACCTTAAGATAAATATTTAACTTCTATTAGATTATAAAATTGATGTTTTGTTAAAAGATTTAATTGTTTTGGGGCGGCGGTAGCCAAGTGGTTAGAATGACAGATTCAGCTCATAGACCCCACAGTCTTGGGTTCAATTCCCACCGTCGCCTTTGGTCCTTTTTTCACACTACCCCAAAATTTCCTCCAAGAAAGAACCCTCCCCCCAATTAAACCTAGTATATAACTGAATTCTTTCCCTGGTTATTATTAGAAAAAATGCCGTTAAAAAAAAAATTTTTTTAAATTATTTACAGCATGCTTTAGGAAATGTGTTATATGTACTTTGCTTAAATGGGATGATTATGGGGATGTTAAGGTTAATGAAATAAACAACAGCTACTAAGTAATTCTTTATTTAGCGTGTATAAAATAACAAAAAATATTTCTATGTGAGATAGTTATTAAGACGATAACAAAGGGCAAACTATTAAAGAAGCGGTCTGTGCATTACTACAACTTAAACTTTAGGAAATTAACTTACGGTTTAAAATAATATTTAATTAAATTATATAAGTTACTCCCTAAATCTTAAAAAAATCAGATTTAGAAAAAATTTTATACTATTGTATAAAATGTATTTAACACTAAACTAAAAATCTGGCAATAAAAATCCAACCACCTTGGGTTTAATATATTTTGAACTATTAAGCTAAAAATTTAATGGATTTTGTGAAACAAGCTTTAAATTTAACAATTTAACTTAATTTTAGATCTAATTTGATCATTTATAGTGTTAAAACAAGCTTAAATATTTTAATTATTAAAATATTTCAATAACTGTTCTTCATCCATAAGAACTAGGTTAGACAGGTTTTCCTCTTCCGCAAGTTGTCCCTTTAGTTTATCCTGCGTGCACATGCAATCATTTCACAAACTAATCAACTATACTGACGTTAAGAGTAAAATAGGATTGTGCCCAACTAGATCAGAATAGTAAAAAAAAAAAGCAAAAATTGTACTTACAACAAGATCATTCGCCGCTTTCAGCTCACTGGCAAGTGTATTGCATTGCTCCGTGAGAAATTTCACCCTGATGCTCAGGTTCTGCTTCTCCTTGGCTTCTTCCTCGAGTTTTGTTTCGAGCTCCGTAACCTTGGCTTCTGCAAGACGCCTTTCTGCTCCTTCCTCACCGGCCTGCCGACTCAACCTCCCCACCTGTTTTTTGTTTTAGAAATAATCAAACGTTTTATTCATTCATTCTTAGTTTATATCATGATGATGGATCTTATCTTTACAATGATCATTTTCAAAATATTGTACATTGAAGAACAGGAATTATCTTCACATCAAATCAATATAATAAAGTAAAAACCAGCAAGTTTAAATTCAAATCAAGATTTACTTATTATTACTTTTATTTTAAACATTTAAGAAGAGAAGATAGATAAAGACTCTGTTTGTCAGAAGGGTCAATTAACAGATAACATAGTAACAGTTCATATTTTTTCATAAATGTTAACTAATTACCAGAAAAATTATGAAAAATTTTGAAACAAGTTTCAAAAATAAAAGTACAGACAGTAAACATTCATACTGGACAAAACAGTCAAGTTTTGTGTAAAAATGTCAACTTTTGCGTTTCCTGTGGAAAAAGGTCTAATTGCTTTTTATTCTTTTTAACATTTAATAAATATATATACATATAGGCTGGATCAGTTAAAAAAAATAATAATAATAATAGATTAGAAACTTCATCGATAAAAATATCATTGTTGCTCAGAAAGAAAATTTATAAAGGGGTTATCTTTTACCATTGATACCTTGGTTCTATCCTAAACCTGACCTGAGTTTCCAAAGAAGAAATTTGTGCACTCCAAGAAGCTTTAATATCAGTCAGGTGCACGTGAGCTTCCTCCAGTCTCCTTTCCAATAGTGCTCTCTCCCCAAGAAATGCTGAAATACATTTAGTTCTATAAAACCGTTCACACCCGTTTTTCTCAAGATCCCACCTTGAACACGATCATCGGGTGGCAGTGATGCGACAAGTCCGGCAGTATCGGACTCGCTCCTTTTCGTCAGCAATGCCACTCGGTCGGTGAGGTGTCTCACTTGTTCCTCACTCTGGGCGAGTTTGCTCGACAAATTCCACCTTTCCTTTTCCGATGTGTGTCTCAGCATTTCAATATCATCCTGTTTGTTAAACTTTATAAATAAGGCTATTCTTATGACCAAAACATTTTCAAAGTGTCCTAACTAATTATTAAAGACTGCTTTTAAATAATTTTTTTATGGGGAATAAAAAGGTTTTTATTTGAATCAAAGAACAATGAAAACAATAGATATTAAAATTAAGCAGTACTACAACTTTGTAGAAATTGTATGAACATATAATTTCTTAAGTAAATTGTCACTTTTATGTTCAATTCTACTCAAACATTTTACATATTTCTCAAATTTATAATCAAAAGTTAAAAGTTTTCAATTAAAATTGACTGTTTGGAAGACTTTTATTATTCCTATAGTTCTGTCATGTAATTTACATACATAATACTGTTCAGATAAAATTATCCAATTTTAACCATTATTTTTACATTATAGAATTAATTTTTCAAAAACTTAGTTAGGGCAGTGGGTGTAACAAATTTAGAATTTAATAATTGTAACAAAAATGTAAATCAAAAACCCAAAAGGATTCAAAACGAAATTCCAGTTAATACAGCAAGACAAGATTTTATGCACCAGTTATTCACAAACTTCTTAAATTTTTAAGGTATTTTATTCAAAAAATAAATATTGTTTGACTTACAGTGCAGACATTTCTTAAATTTTTAAGGTGTTTTATACAAAAAATAAATATTGTTTGACTTACAGTACTGATGCTTTTTATAAAAGGAGTTAGTTATAAAAAAATGACCATTTTTAAATTTGCTTTTTTTTTTATCTGTCTTCTAATGAAATTTTATTGGTTTTAATCCCTTAATGAAAACTGTAGTTACTGCAGCATTATGAGAGAAAAATGGACAGCTGCTAAAGTTTTGGTGCAAGGTAGAGTAATAATCAATCTAAAAAGCCAAAATAGGAGACCGCAATGGTCCAGTGGTTAGGGCACCTGACTCATATTTTCCACTGTTCTGGATTCAAATTCTGATATCCTTTGTAATTATAATTGAGAATAATTTTTAAAAAAGTAAACTGGTTTGAGCTATCATCTGCGATAACCAACGGGTATTTGGACTTTAAGTTAAATTACTTGAATGAAGTAATAAATCAATTTAATTAAGAATAATTTAAGGCCATTCCTACAAAATGCAATAATCAATGTCTATTTGTAGACCTCGGGTTCCCTGGTGGAGTGCCGCCTGTGGCCGCGCACACGCGGAGAAGAGGCGAGCTTTCCGACGCTTCAGAAGACATCCGACGGAGGAAAACCTTGATAATTTTAAAGTAAAAAGGGCTAGGGAGAGGCGTATCCTGTCCCAGGCCAAAAAAGAAAGTCTGGCGAGATATGTGTCAGAAATGACGCACCATACATCCGCCAGGAAAGTCTGGGACAGGGTCAGAGCNAAAAAAAAAAAAAAAAAAAAAAAAAAAAATCAATGTCAAATGAACTAGATATGTCGCAGTCAACGGTCATATTATGTAATTGTTTCCTAATATTATTTATATAATATTTTAAAATATGTTATATTAATTTACAATGACAATTTAAAAATTTACAATAACAATGATAAATGTGATCTTTTTTCAGTACATTTATGTGAAATAATCTATTAAGCTACCTTCTTACTTTACATATTGTTTAATACTTAAGTAATTTTTTCCTTTGTTTTCTAAATTTTACTTTTATATTGTTATATTTTATGTATTGTATATTTCTATATTTAAACATTGTTGTAAACTGGATTAAATCCATACAATATATTATTATTCATTTTAAGTATTCTTAACAGAATTTCTTCTAATAAAAATAACATTTACAATAGACTCTTCATTTATGTGCTTTCACTCATCAGTAGTTGCCCCCCCCCCCCCAGTTGAGTTCTAAAAGAGAGTGGGAATCCTGCATGGAATTAATTTTATGTATGTTACCATATATTGTACTTTTCTTATTGGAGACAAAAAAAAAAACTTAAATGTGTATACAGAAGTACATACATAACATTGACGATAGGTGCACACAATACAGAAAATGCCTGATTGGTATGGAGATACAAAAAATGCTTCGAAACATGAAATTTGACATATTTCCTATTATTTGTGATCCTCTCTGATGTGATGCTTAGTATGTATCCCCCACAGACAACATGAGCATACTTAAGCTAACCTTGCAGCAAAATGAACTTTTAGTAAACATGCCGCTTGGCTTCTTAATGCAAGCGATGATTTTTTCATCATGAGGATTATTACCTGCGATAAAATGTGGATTTATTGGTATCTTCATACACGCCCTTGGGTACAGGGAAAGTTTCAAAGAAGTTTTCAAATATTAAAAACAACTGTGACAGTTGTGCCAAAATTAGCTATGAAAAATCCTGATGATATCTAGACATACATTTCATGTTGAGGGATAATAGAAAAACTTTTCATCCATTAGATGTATAAACTGGAATAATTTTTTTATTAAAAATTCATGGAGTTATACAACCAGGGATAAAGCAATTGAACACTATCAGGTAATTAATCATCAAGTCTAACAGACTTTTTCCAGAATTAAAAATATAAAATATATTTAATTATATGTATTCTTGATATGGTCATTTTTTCCATTCTTGTCCTGACAAATGATTCTACAAATTGGTTATGCCACATCCTTTCCAAAGAATTGTCAGTTAATTTCTTAAAGTCTCTATATAATTGTAAAATTGCTAGAAACAAAGGTTACTATAATTTAACGGTACTTTTTGCATGTTATGAAATAGAAATTTTAATACCCGTAATGGCTTATATTCAAATTTTTCAGAACCAAAACAAAAATAAGAATCAGATTAAAGAGCAAGACACACAAAAGTTTTAAATCTTTTTGCAACACAATATAAACCAATATTTTCTTATTGTCAATTTAAACATGCATACTTCTACATTTCTTTTTAAACAAATGAATTTTTTATCAAATATTTTGTTCTATTTAGCATTGTAAATTAAACAATGTTTGCACACCTGACAAATCAGCCATGCAAACACATTGATTTTTGTGTTATATTTTTGTTCTTCTACGGAAGGATGGGAAAGAATATAACAATTACGTTGCAGTAACAAATGCACAACTTTTAACATTATAATCACAATACTTACTAAAACATACTTGCAAACATCACATGTGAATAGTGTTAAATATTATTTGAGCGTTATTGTGTTTTTATGTTCCCAGCAAAACTGGCAGATGGATTTTAAGCGCAGATTATAATCTTTACTATTATGAAGTAGTAGTAATTTGCAAAATTTTAGCTTTAAAATGTTTTTTAGCAAGCACAAAACATTTTTTTTCATAGTAATTTATCAGGCAATTTAATAATAAATTTAATCTGCAGTTTAAAACAAGCTTGCAATTGCTGTATTGTGCAAACACTGATGGTGTATCATGCTCAGTTAATGCAGGAAAAAAAAAAAAAAAAAAAAAAAAGTACATACCTAGAAAATTCATCAGACATCTTCGCTACACTGGATGTTGTAAATTTTTTTGGATATAAGCTAAATTAAATTAAAACACAAAATGAAGAAAAACATAAATCACAACAGAAAGAAAAATTATGTGCTTTATAGTGTAATAAAATAAAAAAATAAAAATAAAATAAGAAATAATTTCTTTCCTTGCAACAATGTAAAAGTACGATTATAATAACTGTGTATTCAAAAATAAAATTTCTTCGTACATACTACAAAATGAAAATAAAATAAAGACTATACATGCAAACATATAGCTAATCCAGCCCATTGTATAATGTTTGTAAGCTACAGTTAAGTGCCTTAAGCTGGGGATATGGCAAAAGGTGAAAATCACTTACAGCAAAAATCAATAACTTATTTAAATAAAACGTTTAAATTGTCAATTTTTTTAAACGAATCATTATTGGCAAAGACTCACCTCATAGTTGCTTATCTGTTCTTCAAATGGCCTCAGCCTATTTACTTCAGCTTTCAACGATTCAAGTAGTGTCGTTGCTTCCTTTAAACTTGCAGTTGTTTCACTACATTCTTTCTCCTTCGCTAAAAGCTGAAACAATAATGTAAATAAAACAAATGCAATTTCTTTGTTTATTTATTTTTTTTTAATTGTATGTTTAATCTGAGAGAAATCTCTTTACCAAATGTTTCACTTTGGCCATTTCTTGAGTCTGGAAGCTTTCCAATGTGTGTTTATCTTCTTGATATAGAAAATTTAGCCTTTTCATCTCTTTAATAGAAAATGGACAATTAAAACTTTTATCGATTTATCTTCAACTGAAAATATATACCTTCAGCCACTTTCAGAGCCTCTTGCAATTCATTTGTCTGCTTTAGAAGGTCCTCAGTTAATGCACACTCCTTTTTCCTCCATTCCTCTTCTTTGACGACAAAAGATTGCTGTAGCTCGTTTTCCCGTTTTTCTAGTTTTTTGGTCCACTCTGTGACAGTCTTTTCAAGCCTGTTTCTCCACTCGTCCTCTTTCTTTGCAAGAACATTCACTTCTTTGGGACTTAACACCTAAAATGATACCAACAATGAAAAAAAAAAAACTCCAGTATTTACATTGTATTCCTAAAACAATTTCTTCACTTTCATAAATTAAGTGTATTTCTATTTTCTGGAATAGTTGTATACGTCCTTGAACTACTCTAATTTTGCATATTGATAAACAATTACCATAACTTCATCAAGAAACTCTTTAAATGTGCTTGATTTTTTTTTTTAAATATCTAAACATTTATGAAACCACATTTCATTAGCTAATGTATACATTTTAAATTTTGATGAGAACATTGTTTATCACAAGATAAACATTATCTAAACATTATTAAAGGTATAAACTGACCTTTCCATCAAGCAGTTTAATCTGTGGTGGTTCTTGGGGTGGCAAAGTCGGAGAGGGTGCTGGCGGGACTTGCTGTTGAGCACCGTCCAGAACAAGACTGCAAACACTGCTCTCTGATCCTTGCCTGGACTGCCTAGAAAGGCCACCTTTCTGCGGGGTGAATTTTGGCAATTCCCTCCCCGTCTTCTCCCTGAACTGGTTCTTCATACTATTGAACATTTTGACCTGGAAAATTGGAAATTTTGCTTTAATAATAATAGTAGTAAATTTTTATTATGAAAAACAAACCAAATATAATTTATTAAATTTTACTTTACTGTTTAAAATAAAACATGACATTAATTTTACTGTTCTGAATGTAGCTATTAGGATACAATATCACAGGTTTCGCAGTTGACCTGGTAACGATCATAAAAGGGAAGAAATTCAAAGACACTGTCAAACCAGATGCAAAACTCCCTAATTATTGTAGGAAGATAGTGTGAGAAAAAGTGTTTAGATATAAACCCTAAGAAAACACATCTCATTCTTTTCACAAAAAGAAAGTAGCTCACACTGTAAAGGATGATGCTTTAAATTTCTCCAAAGAAAAAATAACCTAGGGATAACTTTGACCAAAGATTAAAACAGGGAAAACACATAGACAACTTTCTGCATAAAGCTAAGGCGCTATTGAACATAGGAAATAGGAATACAGACATTTGGAAGAAAGGTGGCCCTTATATGGTACATAGATGGATCGAAGATGGATTATGGAGTATGCTTAGGGATAAAAGGGCTGAACCTCATACCAGCGAACCCTCTTGGACTAATACCAACAATTTTCCAAGCTGAAGTCCATACAATACAACTTTTGTATTTTTTACAGGAGTTAAAAATGAACAATATGGAAGTTGCACAGATACGCATACTGTCAGACAGCCAGGCAGCCATAAAGGCATAAAATATGTATGCTTTTAACTCCAACTTGACTGGGAGTGCCTAAATTGCCTAATGGCTCTGGGAAAACAGACAAGGCTTACTTTAAAGTGGGTTCACGGACCTGAAGGCATAGAAGGAAATGAACAGACTGGCCAACAAGTCAAAAAATGGGACCCACGAGACCAAAACCACAATTGGTACACCGGTGTATATGTGTGTATGGGTTTAAGTTGGAACTGGAAAAATATGCACCAGGTATGAGGCAAGCTAAGAGATTTATAAATCTCTCAAAAAAGAAGGCGAAGGAACTCCTCTCTCTCTCAGCAGGCAGGAAAGTTATAGGCCTCTATTCTAACCAATGCCCTCTTAACTATCATCTGAAGAAGATAGGCAGAACAGGGACAGAAACATGCCGACTGACAGTACCATAGACATTGGCACATATCCTTTGAGAATGTGAAGCCTCTTCAGTAGGACATTGCTCACACCAGAAGAAGTCCGCAAAGAGTCACTAAGAGAAGTGTTTAGTCATATAAGAAAAACACACTTTCCAAGGTATGGCTATAGCTCATAGGGGTTACACAATTGATCTATTTTGGTCACAGTCGAGTAAACTATTGCCATAATTCTACAGCAACACCCCCCCCCACCCTTCAAAAAATATTTAACGGACAGCTATGACCTTCTCACAACATATTTTACGCTAATGAATATACTCACTTGTGTTTAATTTGTGTCAGTACTTGAGGACAAATTTCATAATCTTTGAAAAGTGTGGTGCCTGGTTTATAAGTGAAAATTCTGCTTGTAAACATTAAGACAGATTATAATGTTGCTAGTCCTTAGAACCTAATCTGATCAGACCATATTTTACTAATTATGTACTGCTCAATAAATACAAGCAGAACTTTGAAAACTGAAAGTAGGAAGCCTGCCAAAATAAACAAGAAACTTTATTCTGGTCATTTCTGATCAAACTGGTCTTCCTCCAGTTCGGTACGCTTGACGCATTGTGACGTTTCACATGCAGAATCATTTGTTTATTACATCATCACTGAAAACAGTGGTGAAACATGTACAATATCAGCAATTACTCTAACACTGACCAGGTGATTGAAAAGGACTGAATACAGGTTCATCGCCCCACAGTCCACACCTAAATATTTGAAAATTTCAATACGAACATATAAAACAATTGTTACAAAGGTGTAACGATCACAATTTCTTCTTTATTAACTATAAGTATATTAAACACAGCTGAAGAAACTGCTTTTTGACAACCAAAGATGACGAAAAGCTAAAATGTGACTAATAGTCCCAGAAAAGTGAGGATTAGCAGACTAAGATGATTAGAGAAGGCCAAATTACTGGTTTGTCACCCCACAGATAACAACAAATCATCTCACAAGTTAAATATGAGTGAATGGAATAAATCACTCAAATTTCTTCCTTTTAAATAAAAGCATTTGTTTTATTAAACTCAAGAAAACATGTGTTAACAAGCACAGAACTCCAAGTTGGTAAAATGCTGAAGCATGACTGACAGCAAGGATAGAGAGGCAAGGGTGATGAAAGGCACCTAGGAGGAAATTCATCACAAGCTACCAACGGCAAAATCTCTTCCTTACTTAGCGTAACTTTATTAAACCCACTGCTTTAATGATGAAATGCAAAAATGTGATGACAAGGATAAACACACTCCATATCAGACTGGATCCAGAAAAAAAAACCAGCAGAGGATGAACTCCAGAAGTTCTAGGCACAGTAAATTTATTAAGAGAACCCTCAACAAAACTGGCAAACACACTGTGACATTCAGAGAAGATAAAACTCAGGGGGTATTGATAAGGCTATATGTCAGTCACTAGCCTAACTAGAGAAAACACCTGCACAACATATATATTAAATTATGACCCCCATTGATTATACGAGGAGGAAGAAAGTGCAGAAAATATTATATTTTAATGTAAAGCAACTAATCAATGGAGACATAGTCTAGGATATCAAGAAGAGCAAGGGAAAAGAACTGTAGCAATGGCAGTCCATGACCTCATAAGAGAGAAGGATTGAGTTAACTCAACTTGAATTGAGGAACTAGGAAAAATAGAATATGCTAAAAGGGTACAGTGCTTGAATAATACAAATCCCTCGCTTCTTATCATTCAGTCATCCTCATCTTAAAACCCACTGAGATGAAATGCTGAAATCCGACTGAGAGACAAAAACAACAAGAATAGAAAGGCAAGGATGATCAAGGACGATGTAGTGCAGATTCATCACCTAGCAGACCACGGCAAAATCTCTTCCTTATTTAGATCAAATCAGGGGTACATCTTTATTAAACCAACTGCTGAAAATATGAAATGCCGAAATACGTCTGACAGATCAAAACAGCAAGAGAAGCCAAGTGAGAATGATCAGAAGCGATCAAACTACAGATTCATCACTTAGCAGACCTGGTCACAAACTCTCCCTTATTGAACATAAGTTTTTCTTTATTAAACCCACTACTGAAGATGACAAAATGCCAAAATAAGTCTGACAACAGAAAAAAAACAGCATGATTGGGCAGGCAAAGATGATCATGATCGCCAAGAAAACCATGATAAAATTTCTTCCTCAATGAGAGATTATGAAATGCCAAAACATGTCTGACAGACCAAAACGACATAATATTCAGGCAACAGTGATCAATGATGATGTAAGTGCAGATTCATCACCTAGCAGACCAGCAAAGTCTCTTCCTTATTTACCATAAATATTTGTTTATTAAACCCACTGCTGAAGATAACAAAATGCTGAAATAAGTCTGACAACAGAAAAAACAGCAAGAATAGACAGGCAAAGATGATCATGATTGTCTAACAGACCATGACAGAATCTGTTCATTATTGAGAGATTATGAAATACATATGACTAAATTAGATAAATTAATTGCAAAAACACGTCTGACAGACCTAAACAGAAGAATAGACAGACCCAGTTATCAAAGATGATCCAGGCACAAAATCATCAAAGAATAGAGCAAAATCATTTCCTTAAAGAGAAGCACATCTGACAGAACAAAATAGCAAGACTAGACAGGCATAGTCAACAAAAAAGATCCAATCACAAAATCATCATGTAGCAGACCAAAATATCTCCCTTATTGAGCATAAGTCTTCCTTGACGAAACCCAGTATTGAAGAACAAAAATGCCTTCACAAATTAACAGCCCAAAACATCATGACAGGCAACAATGATCAAAGATGATCCATGGCGACAAAATCTCTTCTTTATTGAGACGAGTATTTCTCTATTAAACCCATTACTGAAGACAATGATGAAAGGCACAAATAAAGATAGACCAGGATGTTAAGAGGCGATCTTATTATCACATTTTATATCTAAACAAGAAATGTTACAACTGTCACACATGCTGAATCGGCACTGGGTTATTTATTACGTTCCAGACGTTAAATTGGTTCAACATATTTAACTTGTGTTAACTCAAATATTAGTGTAGTTTTGTTGTTTTTTTAATGACAGGTTGTTCAATAATTTGTTGAAGTCGTGAGGAGCGGTCAACAAATTTTATAATTTTTAACAGTCTTAATCAAGTAGCTGTTACCAATCTGCTCGGAAAATGCTTCATCCTGGACATAACTTCTGTCATATTAACTAGAAATTTAAATTTATATCGTGTAATCAAAAACTTTGTTATTTTTTTAAACACTAAGATTTAACCAGTGGGTATTTTTTGGAATTTTAAATATGTTTTGATCAACGGCGAGATTTTTTTTTACGTACTAGCGTGTTTTGCAAGTGGTTTTTACGGTGTTTCGTTACTTTTTAAAAAGGCGAACATCTGCAAATCCCAACTCGGCAGAAAGTAAAAGTCCCTTGTCAACCGAAACGGTAACATTTTACGGGATTGTGCAAACGGGAAAAGTTGCCTCGTCGGGCCGGCGATCCTCGTCCGAACGACAACTCAAAAATCGTCATCCATCGAGATAATTTTATCAGTCGACATGTCAAATTGTTCGAATTCGGCGAAGGCTGGCATCTACGAAATTGTATTCAGGGCAGTTGGCAGAAAGTAACGGGCCGAACAATATGCAAACCTTTACAAAATGCTTACCGAGTTTTCGAATGTTTCCTTAGTCCTGGGCTTCAGTTCAGTTATCCATATCCCTCTCTGGGTCGGCTCGGTTCCGTGGAAAATCGTCAATTTAACAGCGTGTCATTTCGGACGAACTGTCAATCCTATCTCGTCCAGATAACCTCGCTCGCCTATTTCACTTTTATTATCTCGGAGTGGCCGAGTTGGGCAAAAGCAGCGCGCCCTATCGCCTTGGCGGGGGCCCGGCTCGTCCGTTTTCCGGATCCGAGATCAGGTGGCCACCGGCACCACAGAGGCACCGACCTGACCAGAATATTGTAAGTTAATTTTCATATACAGTTTATCCTTTCTTAATTTTAGTTCTTTTTTTATTGCAATAATATTTATTAGCAAGTTATACATATATTCTGTTTTATCTTTTTTTGTTCTTTCTCCATGTGTGTATATGTATACTTTTTCTTCTATTGTTGTAAATATTATTACTTTAAATTAAAGTCTCTCTTTCTTTCACTCTAACAGTCTCTCTCTCTCTCTTTCTCTCACTCTCACTCTCTCTCTCTCTCTCTCTCTCTCTCTCTCTCTCTCACTCTCACATACACACTCACACTCTCACAATCTCTCTTTCTCTCTATATCTCTCACCATCACAGTCACACACACTTTCTTGTCTCACACACCCTCTTACTGTCTCTCACCCTCTCTCACTCTTTTTCTCTCACTCTCACAGTCACACACACACTTTCTTTTTTTCTCACATACCCTCTCACTCTCTCTCTCTCTCTCACTCTTTTTCTCTCACTCTCACACACTTTCTTTTTTCTCACATACCCTCTCACTCTTTCTCCCTCTCTCTCTCTCTTGCTCTCTCACTCTCACAGTCACACACACTTTCTTTTTTTCTCACATACCCTCTCACTCTCTCTCTCCCCCCCTCCCTCTCTCTCACTCTCTCTCTCTCTCCCTCTCTCTCTCTCTCTCTCTCTTTCACTCTCTCTCTCTTTTTCTCTCACTCTCAGTCTCTCTATCTCTCTCACTCTCACAGTCACACACACACACACACACTTTCTTTTTTTCTTACATACTCTCTCTCTCTCTCTCACTCTTTTTCTCTCACTCTCACAGTCACACACGCTTTCTTTTTTCTCACATACCCTCTCACTCTCTCTCTCTCTCTCTCTCTCTCTCTCTCTCTCTCTCTCTCTCTCTCTCTCTCTCTCTCTCTCTCACTCTATATCTCAGTCACACACTCACACACACACACACACATTCTTTTTTCTCACACACCCTCTCCCTCCCTCTCTCTCTCTCTCTCTCTCTTTCACTCTCTCTCTCTTTTTCTCTCACTCTCAGTCTCTCTATCTCTCTCACTCTCACAGTCTCACACACACACACACACACTTTCTTTTTTTCTTACATACCCTCTCACTCTCTCTCTCTCTCTCTCACTCTTTTTCTCTCACTCTCACAGTCACACACGCTTTCTTTTTTTCTCACATACCCTCTCACTCTCTCTCTCTCTCTCTCTCTCTCTCTCTCTCTCTCTCTCACTCTCACTCTATATCTCAGTCACACACACACACACACACACACACGCACGCATTCTTTTTTCTCACACACCCTCTCCCTCCCTCCCTCTCTCTCTCTCTCTCTCTCTCTCTCTCTCTCTCTCTCTCTCCCCCTCTCTCTCTCTCTCTCTCTCTCTCTCTCTCTCTCTCTCTCTCCTCTCTCTCTCTCTCGATCTTCTCTCTGTGTTCTCTGCAAGAAGACCCCTAAGCAAATCTTGGGGACTAAAACCGAAAATGGTCCATTGGCTATGGCAGTAATAAGACTCAAAATACCTATTGATCACTAATCTGTTGGAACAAAGCTCAACAAAACCTATCTAATCAAACACTAGGCAGCATACAAAGATTAGCAAACCTGTGTATCATAGGGGCAATGAGATTAACCCCTACAAGTGCACTAGAAGCTTTGCCAACGTATCTCCAATGGAACCATTTGTACAAGGAAAAGTTGGAAAAACTCATTTAGGCTCCAAAAACAATCAAATTGGATGGGAAGTAAACAATTCGGGCACAAAACTATAATTAATAAAATGATATGCTATACAGGGGCTGAAAAACAAACAAAGAAACCAGATCGGGTATTTTCTGTACAAGCCCAAAATATGAGCAATTGAACTCATTAGAGAAGTACTCTTTGTTCTTTCAAGCAGGAATATACGCCATCAATGCTTGTACCCTCAGAAAACTTCGCAGAGGTTACAGTGGCAAAAAATCCTCGCTAGATTGAATAGCCAAACAGCTAAAAAGCATTAGTGTTTAAAAAAATCACGTCAAAATTAATCAGTGAATGCATCCAAAATCTCCAAAACCTGGGGAACCACATCAACCCGATGATATCGTGGGTGCCAAGCTACAAAGGAATTTGGGGTAACGTAAAAGCAGACACACTCGCTAGAGGAGGATCTGTAAGACCATACATAGGCCCTGAACCTTTACTTGGGATGACAAAAACAAATACACAATCCTCACAGAATGGATCCAAAGGTGTATGATCTCGAGCCTTTGCCCAAGAAAGTGTCTTTGTTGGAGTCGGAGACATTGCAGAATCTACCCAAGTTGTTGCAAGTTTGGGAGGTCGAATTCTCATTAGAAAAGGAATCCCAAAAGTCTTTTTATCTAATTGTTTAATTAAAAAGACATTGTGTGAAGATGTGAAGTCGACTTCTTCTTTTATAGTTTCAATTGTCCTGCTTGTTAACAGAATTGACAAGTATTTGAACCAGTTTGTTTGGTATTAAAATACGCATTAGCGATTAAAAAGGCTTAGGTTTTTAATTTTTTTAGTCTGTAATAAAAAAATAAATTAATAAAAATTAATAAAAAGAAAGCAAAGGTGTTCCATATGGTATTATTATTCTTTTACCTTTATCTTAATCAGCTGGTCAATAAATAATATGTTATTAAATAAAAATTAGTGCAACACAATTTGCATAAAAGTGAATAAAGTGAGAGATTTTTAAATATTTGAAAATAATATTTATTAAGTTTAATAGTTAATCATATAATCATGTTTAAAAGTTTGCATTCTATTCACAAATTGGGCAAACTGATGCCGACAATTTTGCCAAAGATAAAATCTATTAACTGTACAACCGATTGTAAAGATGAAAAACGAAGGCCATACTCTCCTTTTGGGAAAACAGACACTTGGGCAGAATTTGCCATGGTGAGGCTTGACGATCTTGTGAATTGGGGACGGAAGAACTCGATCTGGCCTTTGACGTTTGGACTCGCATGTTGTGCTATCGAGATGATGCACATGGCGTCTCCTAGGTATGACATGGACCGTTACGGTGTGGTCTTTCGGGCGTCACCACGACAAACAGATATCATCATAGTCGCTGGAACGGTCACTAATAAAATGGCACCGGCAGTTCGTAAGGTCTACGATCAGATGCCTGAGCCGAAATGGGTCATTTCTATGGGCAGTTGTGCCAACGGCGGCGGCTACTACCATTACTCATATTCAGTAGTGAGGGGAGTCGACAGAATTATTCCTGTTGATATATATGTACCTGGATGTCCACCAAGCGCAGAGGCTTTATTGTACGGAGTTCTTCAACTTCAGAAGAAAATCAAGAGATGGAACACTTTCCAAATGTGGTACAGAAGATAAACTGAGATATGTTTTATCTTTTTTCTTTCTCTTTTTTTTAATATATCATATTGTGCTAAATGTATTAAACAATGACTGATATTTATAAAACAAATTTATTTAAAATGACCCCTACATGTTATTGTATACATACTAAACAACAATTTAAAAAAATAAATAACTACCTCATCTATTAAAAAATGAGAAAATTTATTCCCTCAATTAAAACTAAAACATATTTACAATAAAATTTTCAATTAATACAATAATTGTATGTGAATAAAAAGTTCAGTTTAAAATCAATACAAGATAGAAGTCTTTACAACGTATCACAAATTGATTGTATTTATTAGAAATTGCAATAAAGTAAATTAACGGAATTCAAATTGTTTAAAAAAAGGAACTGGATCAATTTTGAAAATAATATTACAAAGAAATCGACCCGTTCAGAATCTGATCGTGTAGTTCACGTGTCATCCTCACATATGTGCTTCCCTTCCTGAAGAAAATCGGGTCTTTAATGATATTCGGGTCGAAACCTTCCTTTTGAAGATTGAGTTTTTTAAACTTAAAAGTGCCTTGAAAATAAAATAAACATTTAATAATTTAATTTACTTAATAAATGTGTCAAGGTGTTTTCTAACCAGTCATTTCTATTTCACTGAGCAACCTAATAAAGATCGGATGTTGGTATTTGGGTAGAGTCAAATCCAACGCCCTTGCAAGTTTATCCATGTCTAATTTACAGTCAGGATCTAGAACTGCAAGCATTCCCGCTCGACCTTCCAAATCATGAACCTTTCAAAATGAATATTGGCTATCAATATGCGATCCATAAAAGTTTTTGATAAAATTTGTTTACCTGTACTCCGTAAACCACACAATCTGTGAGGCCAATAGTACTGCTTATCAAGGATTCACACTCTGATGTTGATACATTTTCACCTTTCCATCTATATGAACATAGGACATTTTTAATAATTACGAATAATCGTAATCATATGTAATTTTACCTGAAAGTATCTCCAGTTCTATCTTTGAAATAAATGTAACCCATTTCATCTTGAACCATAAGGTCTCCTGAAAAAAAAAAATCATTAAGAGATTAAACACCATTCAGGTGCAAGCAAGACAACTGGTATACCTGAAACAAACGCACGATCTCCCTTTTTGAATACGTCGTAAATAAATTTTTTGTTCGATTCCCCTTTGTCAACATATCCATAGAATTCTTTCATAGACCCTTTCCAGGGAATGATGCCAACAAACATGCCAGGCTCATCTGCAAAATATAGTATAATGATTTTGAATTCCCACACTAGAATGGTCAAGAACTGAAAAGAAGACTTGGACAACTTAGAAGACTGTTAGCACCAAAATCAGACATGACTTAGATAAACAAACTAACTCTACAAAGCAATAGTTTAACCTATTTGGACATACTGAGCAGAACTGTGGGGTACCACAAGCCATCCAAGCATTCCAATCAAAAGTCTTCAGAACGGCTTCTGCAACGCCCCTACTACATTTCTAAGTTTATATGCTTTCTGAAGTTCTGCTCTCATGATAACCCTTCTGTCCAAGCCCTTTCTATTGCCCCCCATACCTAGAAACCTCCGATTCACCTTAAGTCTACTTGCCCCCCAATCCCTCTGCAGCCAGAGTGCCAGGCTAGGATGATTTTTCAAGGCATATCATCCAGGAGCAATGCTGACCATAGTGATGTGTCTGGGTGGCAATAAGCAAGCAGATTTTTAACCAGTTTTTAAGATGTATGAGTGAATGAATGAAAAACATATTTAAAAAAAAAAATTATATAGCAATAATAGATTGTACAGATTTGGTTAATTTTTGACAGATAGCGTCATGGCAGCCATACTATTTATTTTATTGTTTTACTAACTATACATTAATATGGTATTAAAATCAATAATAAACTATTAGAAATAGAATAAGAAACAAACTAGAATTTACTTCACCATAAATAATTAATTCATGAATTTATTTTTTTAGTAATATTTTGAATTAATATATCTTGTACCATACTTAATTTATTATTAATGCTGTCATTACATTTAAGGTATGTGTGTTGTTAATGAAATATCACTTTACACAAGGATTTTGACAAATTTCTCCCCTTTAGAATTACAGCCTGTACCAATTTGGCTGCAAGATCTTAAATTTTTGGGCCTTCCTAAATTATTAGTAGTGAAGTTAGAGTGGTCAAAAGTATGAATGTGGCAGCATATAAATGTCAATTTATTTATCAGGAAGAAATATAAATTTATATCTTTCTTTATGGTGGTGTTTAACAATTTCTGAAATTTTAATATAAATTGGCCAGCAATATAGCAAAAGAATAGGAACATTTCAATTGTTAGACGTTGTTAAAAACTCCCCCTTTTGTGATATTTTGCGATAACAGTCCTGGACAATTTATTCGTATCGTTATCTGATTAATGAATTATTTATAAAACAACACAATTGTTGCTTTGGTCAAATAAGTAGCTCGATAATTTTCACTATTATCTAAATTTATAAGAAGGGGGAGATTCAAAATAAAAACTAGCATTTCCTGTTATAACAATTATACAAAATTCAAATTAAATTAAATTTTTGACATGTATAAAGTGATGTCAAGTTCGGTGTATTTGAAACAGTTGACCTGAAAACAGGATAAAAACTAAACTTTAGTAAAATAAACCCAGTTAGTTATATATTTGTAGGCTTTACAACAATTTCGTTAACTTTTGACAATTGTTTATACCAATTGGATTGTCAGTATAATAAAGGTGGGGCATAATTATTCTATATCAATCAAATATATATCCAATAAGTTAAAGATAAACTTTAGTAAATTCTTATATAATATTTCTTGTAAAGTTAATCTGTATAAACATGGGATGGCTGTAGCTGAGCAGTTAGGTCATTAGACCCCCCACAGTCACGGGTTTGATTTGCACTGTCACCCTTGAAATTTGAGAAACGAACTAACTCTGGCTAATATAAAAGTTATAAGGCCATAAAAAAATATAAAAATCTATTAAAACATATAACATAAAAACTCACCAACACTGCATTCAATGCAAAAACCTTTCTCATTCCTTATGGGCTCCATTGTATCTGGATCTACTTTTATGATTGATCCAATATATTTATTAAACATTGGAAAAGCTTTTGATAAGGAACCAACTGCACCGATTGTATTGTCAACATTTGCTGTAAAAAAATTACAAATTAAGTTGTTTGAGGTTAAGGTTTGGTTAACTGTCTAATTGAAGTCACCGATTAAAAGATTTCCTTCTGTCGAGCCATAAATTTCCATAACGTTCGGGATGTTGAATCTACTGACAAACTGAGCCCAAATAGAAGATCTGAGCCCGTTGCCTACCATAATTCTCAGCCTGTGCTCTTTATCACTAGGCTTCGAAGGAACTGACAAAATGTATCTGCATATTTCACCGATATACTGTCCAACCTAAAAACGAACGATTGTCGTCAATTAAATTAAAATAAGTCGTTGAATTTTTTATATTACTGTGCATTTATATTTGATGCAGTCTGGAATATAAGATGATGCAGAGAACTTGCGCTTTATGACAGCAGTAGCACCCAAAGTTATAGCAGTCATGACACCAAGAATACCCCCGGCCGTATGGTACATAGGAAGTGGGTTGTAAACGATATCATCTCTTTTTAAATCAAGCAGGTATCTCGCAAAGCTCGAAAACAATAAAAATCTGAAAATTATAAGAAATCAGTGTCTATTCTTTGATTTGGATTTACAACGATGAAATACCTTGAATGAGGCATGATAGCCGCCTTTGGAAAACCCGTGGTACCCGAAGTATATATATAAAGAAGGTGATCATTAAAATTAATTTTAACATTGACATTTGAAAATTCAGGTTTCAAAACTTTAAGCGCATTGTCCAAACTGGAAATCCCTTCTTTCGGTACACCGCCCAGTTGAAAAAGCCTTATGGTACTTTCCAAGGATGGCCTGATATCGTGAATCGCTGCACATTAAATGTTGTTTAAGTACAAATTTAAATTTAGTCAAAATCAGCAAAAAATAATATCCGACCAGAGCAAAGATCATTGGAGAAAATAACAGCTTTGCAAGCGCCGATTCCTAAAGAGTACGTTAAAGGTTTGAGCTTTAAATTTGTGTTAATAAGAGCAGAGATGATGCCGAGTTTCCCCAGGCCCAGCCAAATGCATGCATATTCGGGCCTGTTTGTCATGAAGATCGCAACCGTGTCACCTTTCTTGTATCCAGCATTATGGAACACTTGTGCTACCTTGTTAGTGTATTCATCCACCTGGACAATTACAAGAAAAACGATTGCTTTAATAGTACGAGTGAAATAAATGTGTTGACATTCTATTAAAAACATAAATATGTGGGAAGCATTTTAAGGTAAAAATTGAATTCTTTTTAAAAATTAACGAGCAAATGTTTGTTTCACCAGTTTGTTTACAGAGATAAGTTTATTAAAAGAAAGTGTTTTTTTACTGCATTCTTTCCTATTTTTAACTTTATCTCAGATGAAATCACGTTTCAATAATTTTGTTTTGTATTATTATCAACATCTAAAAAATTTTTTCAGCTAAAACTACTATCAGTTTTACGGTGTAAACAATAATTGAACAGAGTTTGATTAAAACTGACTTAGCATGTCGACAAGATTAATTAAATCCAAAGGGAGAAGTTGTATAAATATTGAATATGGATAAATAAACCTTTCTGACTGACTGAATTCAATTAAATTCGATTAAAGAGGAGATAGAAGTTTTTATCTTTTAATTTCTACAACACCATTATCTATCACCACTAACCATTATCTACCATTTATAGAAGCTAAACAAGGGTTCATTAAACGATCTTTAGTCTACTTTAGATTAGTGACAATGCTTAATAATTGCAATGTAGATCACTTAAAATACATTAAATTATGAAAATTATACAAAAACATTTTCTCTAACCAAGTGAAGAAATTTTTTTGTTAAATGTATAGGACACAGAAATAAGTAATCCCTGTCATATAGGAGGGTTTAACATCCGATAGGTGTTGTGATGAAGGATGAAACCATATTACAATATGTTTTTTATATTCTAATCAATTAAAAAACCATGGGTTTTGCCAGGATTTGAACCTAGAATACGATTTGGACCCCATAACCACTCGGCTACCATGGTCCGTCTAGTCTCCAAGCGTATGACACTTGTTAAAATACAAAATCTTCTTCATGTCTTAACATGGGAACTGCGGTAGACGAGTAGTTAAGGTGTCAGACTCTCGGCAATAGACACTGTGGTTGTGGGTTCGATTTGTTGTTGTTTAACAGTTGCCTCTGGATTTTTCAGACGAATAAGGGGGACGGTGGCCACATGAAAGTTGACACGTCAATAGAAGTCCCCGGTGGGATCGGGTCTCAGAGATCCTGAATTCGATCCTGACCCCCCCCCCAAAAAAAAAAGTTTTTTTAATTTTTTTCATTTTTTCAAAGGAAGACAGGGCTCAATTTACACGTGTATAGTTGCGAGTCCCAAAATAGAACCAGGAAGGTGTACGATAAACTGTAAAGCTGCAGTGCTCAGGGAGAGCTCCCCCAATTCCTTATCTCCATAATCGATGGGGAAAAATAAAAAGACATCATTCTTACTGTATGGTTTAGTTTAATGCATTTTGGCATTTTAACCATCAGTTTTGATTGTAGACATGTGATGACACTGATTTTACATCAACATTCTTACTCTGTCTTTATCTAAATATTGTTAAATTTGATTGCAGATTTACTAAATGTTTTACCAAAACATAAATTATAATTTGTATTGTTAAAGGATATCACTGTAAATAATAAATAGTTGTTTAGATAAAGCAAGAGAGACGTAATTAGAATGGACCTTGCAACCATTGCCCTTGAAAAGGACAGTCAATTAATTAATTATCGAATTCCTCTGATATTATCATAACATGGTAAGTTAACATAATAAATGTTAGAAAAGTTCTGAATGCCATAAATGAATTTAATAAAAGATTTTTGTTAATCCATTAAATTTTATAACTAATAGAATGTACTGTAGGATTCATTTATGTATTTATTTAAATAAAAAGCACTGACCTGTTTAAAAGTCCATATCTGCTCTTCAAAATGAAAGCATACTTTGTTCGGGTGTTTTCTCACCAACTTTTCAAATTCATTTGTCACCGTACAGTTAAATAATTTAAAGTAGAAAGAGCTGAATAAAATGTGAACCGCTGCATTGAAAGCCCTATTAAAACACTGTCAGTAAAAGCAATGTAAATATTAGAAAATGTAAAAATGACAAAAACAATACTTACTTCCAGTCCCTTGGCAATGTCTTAAGTATAATAGCGATTTTTTTGACACATTTCATTGGCAAAAAATACGACAGAAAAGTGCAAAAATATTTGGCCATAAAAGAAAATAACGCCATTGGTTGTGTGGACGAAGAGTGAAAATACGAACTGATGTCTAGTTCCATTGTGTCTAATAAGTGCAAATAAGGCTGAATGTGCCTTGATTGAGTAGAACTAACTGGTGATATTGTGACTGAGGGAGCTCTTTGTGCATTAATCATGCTACCATTTGGACTTTAGTCCAAGGACCGGTCACATCTGTAACACCCCCTTATACACTCTGCCCCTCCAGGGCCTTTCCATGATAAAGTCATTAAGTGATTTAATATTACTTTCTTTATCTGGTCTTCTGACTGAAGAAAACACAGGTTGTTTTTATATTTTGTTAAAATCATCACTCAGCATAACTCCTTCTGCTTGTATGGTGAGTTTAAATGTTTGATATTACATCTTTTTATAATATACTCATATGTAATGACATTTGCTAATATATGCTCACAATAATCAAAAGCTGCAGGGGAGTAGTCAGATTACTGAAAACTTTGGGTACAGCAGATTTTAAAAAATACGTATGTACAAAAACATTCAATACAGTTTATTATTATTGCATACACAAAATTACACCTATTAGAATACATATATACTGACAATTTTTGCTATAAAAAATTAAGTTTTTTAAAAAATTTAATGTTTTATTCAGTGCTTCTTCCTCTTTTTCACGCATTTTTACTGAATGCAAGAAAAATATAGACTGATCTATCATTTTATTTTCAAGTAGTGAAGGGAGAATTCACTGAGCAAAAGAAATTCTCACAAATTCGTAGTCTCATCTGGTCTTGGTCTTTCGCATGACACTTCTCACTCTCTTTCTCACTAAAAATCTCTCAGAATAAAACTGCATTCATTCATTCTGTCACTCACCCATTCGTAATCACCATTTTCTCTCTCTCTCTCACACACACTTTTCTTTTTTTTCACACTCTCCCTCATTCACTCTCTCTCTTTTGAATGTAATAGTGGTCAGTATTTGACCAAATTCTGCCACTAAATAAAACCTCATTCATTTCTTCTCTCACTCTCTTTAGAATGTAAGAGTGGTCAATGTTTGACCAAATTCTGACAATATATAAAACCACATTCATTCACTCACTCACCCGCTCATTATCTCCCTCTCACTCTCTTTCTTTTGAATGTAAAAGTGGTCAGTATTTGACCAAATTCTGACACTAAATAAAACCACATTCATTGTCTCATTCACTTACTCACTATCTCCCTCTCTCTCTCTCTCTCTCTCTCTCTCTCTCTCTCTCTCTCTCACACACACACACACACACACACATACACACTTTTTCTGTCATACACATTCCCTCATTTACTCTCTCTCCCTCTCTCTCTCTTTCTTCGCATTATGCAACAAAGAGATCCATGAGACTGGACTCACTGTGCATGGTGAAATGAAACCTAAATCATGCAATCATCCCCAAATAATGTTTCAATCGTTTCCTTTAATGTTCTCAATTTATGATTATTTTTTTTACAGTTCGGATTAGGGGGAGAGCACTGTATTTTCGTTTTAAAATCAATTTCAGCAATATTGCAAGTGATTGATGATTAAATTTGGTGGTTAATCCAAAACTCATCAAATAACATGAATCAAAACATTTGGAATTTTTTTTTTTTTTTTTTTTTTTTTTTTTTAATTGGCCTTATGGTCTTGCATATTAGCCATGGTACGAATTCTTGTGTGTTCAAATTGGGGGGTTATCGGGAAAAAAGGGCCAGAGGCGACGGTGGGAATCGAATCCACGACCGCGGCATGAGAGTCTCTCATGCTTACCGGGGCTACCGCGGTCCCCTAGGATTTGGAAAAATTGAAAGTTTTGTTTGAAAAGTTTTTCAAACTTCAACACTACGTTCTGCAAATTTTTTACTTGATTATTTGGAGATCGTGAGATGCGGTCTCACGAACTCCAAATAATCATTGACAAACGGTCACTAAACACCACACACTTTTTTACTTGAGTTTGCCTTGTATATTATTACAGAAATAACTTGTAACAGAAAACTTAAATAATTTATTTTGTAGAGATTGGACAGTATTTAAAAAAAAATTAAATACATTTATTATTGAGGTGCAAACAAGAATATGACATGCATTTAATTTAATAAGTGTATTTTTTCTAAACCTAAATTAAGACTAGATATAAATACTAAAATTCCTGTAATTGTATTTCAAGTTTATCGTTCATGCCCTAAAATAATAATTATAATCATAACAATATATTTTCAATAAAACATACAACACAGCGAGTTAACATAGGAATAGTCCTTTTTTTTAATGTCTTGAGAAAGTTAATACTGATGTTTTTGCAATTATAAAATAAAAGTTAAGAACAAAATATAGGACAAAATTTTAGACATGAGTATTTTATCACAGAAAATATTTAGGCAAAAATTAAAATTATAAACACCCAAAAGTAATAATACTAACACTATCACAAAATTAAATTACTTTTTATGTTTTAGACAGATTTAATTGACAACATTGAAAAACAATTTTCTTGTCCATTAGGTCAAAGTACATTCTCATCATGATAAACGATTTTATCGGCATTTTCTAGATGAGTAGTACAATCAGTGTTAGTGAACATGCCCGGGATAGAAAGAGGACAAGACCGACTAGTGACACAAGTTCCAAATGACAAATCCCATTATGCAAATTTTAAAATTATCAAAATTATTGATTTTAACAATGATTTTTTAATGTTTAAGTTTTCTTTGATAATGTTCTAGTCATAGCATCACACATGTCAGATTTAAGATTTATATATTAATAAAAAATCTTTCATCAAGAATTACAATTTTGGAACTTGTTTTCTCCTGTTGACAGGAGGACTTTTAAGGTTGTCTACAACAATAACTATCAATTATAAATATTTTCTCCCCTGAAAGCTAGCTAAAATACAAAATCACATTTATTATACATTTAACATATGACAGAAAACAAATATAATTTAGAACAAAAATAAGAAACAGGTACATAATGGTGGAATTAGTTTAAAGAGTCTTAAACCTACAAGTAATATGCTATTTTTTCACCACAAAATTAATATTTAATGAAGGATATCAAAAATGGAAAGAAAAGTTATAAAATACAAGCTGATGTCATGGTTTCAAACTTTGGCAGAAATAGGAATGCAGTCTCAACAAGAATTACATTCTTGTTTTTTCTCTTGTCATAAAAACACCAACACTTTAACACAATTAGTGTACACTAACACTAATTAAATAACCAGTCTCATAATATTAAAAATGAAATGAGACGCCCAACCTATATTGCTGCTACCAACTTTTAAAATTGTCGCAGATGAAAATTTACCTATATAAATCATATATAATTCATAGACAATAGATAAACAGAGGTAGAGGCTAATGCAAATCAATAAAAATAACCCCCATGAATTTGATTGATCGTAATTATTAATCAAGTTTAAATTTGAATAATACCCTTGTATTGATTTTTTGGGGCAGGTAACAATATGCCTCCTTTGATTAAAAATTAAAAAATATAATAATTTGCACATATTTCCCGTTTATATTTTTATGTCACCATTGATGATTGAGGTGTAAAGTGTTTTTGTAAGGGGGACGAAAGTTGGGCCTTGCCTGAAATACAACTTGTCCTTGATGATGTCTGGATCGAAACCATCCTTTTGGAGCAGTACCTTCTTCATCTTATAAGTGCCTGTCATTTCCATGCTTGGAAGGACTCTAAGGAAAATCGGTCTTGCAGCTATCGGCAATGAGTTGTCCACACCGTTGGTAAACATTTGCAAGTCAAGCAGATTGTTAGGATCGACGACCGCAGCCATTCCTGCCTTGCCTTCCAAGTCTCCTATCTGATTTTTAGACAAATGTAGTAGATAATTTATCATATAATTAATTGAGTATACCTTTACACCGTAGACTGAGCAATCCCTCAGTCCTGCAACTGAACTGATAACCGCTTCAACTTCACTGGTGGCTATGTTCTCCCCTTTCCACCTTTACAACCGATAAAATATGTATTACTATCGAATGACATCAGTTACCATTTTTAGTTTTTTACCTATAAGTATCTCCAGTACGATCTTTGAAATAAATGTAGCCAAATTCATCCATCAACATAAGATCACCTGAGGAAAAAAATTTCAAAACACGTGACAAAAGATGGAGCAAGATAAAAATAGTAGTGTTTGTTTTCTTTATTAGTTTTTGTATTTTTTATTTCTAACACTGATGCTTTTTCTCGGTCAAATTGCAATACTTCCATTTTAAATTTGTTTCAGAGGAAAAGTGTAAGCCTGCAGTCAGGATTGGGATTTCGTCTGCCTTTTTTGCCAGTTTGCCAGAACCTATATGTCACATTTACTTTTACGGGTCACAAAAATTTTAAGGCCAAGCATCCTTATTACAGCCATTGTGGTACCAAAATAATAGTAAGTTTTGTTTAAAGTAAGGAAATTAGATCAATTTTTCAATAAACTTTGTTATTAAAAAAATATTTTTTTTATGTGATTAGTGACCGTTAATCAATAATTATTCAGAAATCGTGAGATGTAGTCTGGTGTGATGTAGGTTTCAAAAAAAAAAAAAAAACATTTTCTTTATCGTGCCAACGTTTCGATCTTTATTGAGATCATCTTCAGGGCCTGGGATTTATTTACAAACATTGTTTACATTTAATAAATACTTTTAGGATGAGGAAAAGTGTGTATCCTAAATGTATTTGTTAAATGTAAAGAAATACTTTGATTGAATATAAAAAATATATTTTGCATTGTATAAATTCACTTTTCCACATCCTAAATGTATTTGTTAAATGTAAACAATGTTTGTAAATCCCAGGCCCTGAAGATGATCTTAATAAAGATCGAAACGTTGGCACGATAAAGAAAATGTTTTTTTTTTTTTTTTTTGAAACCTACATCACACTAGACTACATCTCACGATTTCATAATTTTTTTTTATGTTAAAATATTAAAAAATATTCTGTACTATAAAATGTCAACAATTATAATCTGTAATTTGTTCATTTCTGATTATTTTAGTCTGTCTGCTGTGCTTTGGATTCTTGCCAGCTTAAGTTGAGCATCACAAGAAAGTTAAATGACAAAAATTTTCTGACAGATCAAAACAGTTGAAATAGGCAGACCAAAATGATCGGAAATGACTAAATTCATCCCCGAGAGGAACTCTCATAATTAGAATCTTATACTTTGATCATTTGCTATCATCCAAGATAGTGAAATATATCTGACATACCAAAGCAACAATGATAAATAGATTGGAAATGGAACTACTAACGCACATACTTCCACAAAATAGCTCACAATGTAATTATAGGTGTATCTAAAATGTTTACTCACCAGATACAAACACAGAATCGCCTTTAGAGAAAACATCCCTCCAAACTTTCTTTTTTGAATCTGCTTGGTTAACATAACCATGATACTGTCTTGAAGGATCGTTATTTTTGATCAGTCCAACAAACATTCCTGTCTCATCTGTAAAATGGATACTTTTTTAAGTCATCATGTTAATATAATAATAATTAGAGTGCATCATTTAAAACAGATATAGAGGAGAACATGATTAAAAGAAAGTGGCAGCATCAGTTGGCCAGAGAAGCAGAGAAAAGGTCTCGTGTATCAAAGGTCCTGACTCAGAGGTCCTGACTCGTAGAAAAAGGGTAATCCTCACCCGATTAAAATAGGTCAAAGTTGAAACACACTCTTACTTTTGGGCCAAAGCCAGCACATGTGTCCATCTTGCAAAGAAAGGTTGTTCGATGTGTCCCACCTAATTGAAGGGTGCAATTTCTTGGTTCCATAAGGGAGCATGTACGAATTCCATCTGATATGAGAATTGTGTTTGAGCACATTAGCGAGTATTTAAGTCCTCTTTCCGATTTTTCGAGGAAACAGGGTTGTTGCATATAGTACTAATAGTTTTATGTGCCTAGCGTGTGTTGAGAGTGAATGTATTCATTGGCAAGAATGTGAGAGGGCCAATTGTTAAATAGTGAGTATACATCGACCTCGATTAGACCAGGAGACAGACATGTCATTCTGGAACGACATCCAACTAAATCTCTTGACATCGTAAAATAATGACTGACCTTGTATGTACTTCATATTTTTATTACTAAGAGATTTATTGTGACATTCATAAATCGGACATTTTCAAAAGCAAACGATAATATAAATGAAAAATAAATAAATACCTTTATCACATCTTTTGCATAGTCCATCACAATCTCTTATTGGCTCTTCAGTCTCCATATCGATTTTTACTATAGCAACAGGAATAAGAGAGTTTGGCAAAAATTGTGGAACAGAGCCAACAGCACCAACTGTATTATCTATATTAGCTAAAAACAGAAAAACAAGTTTTAAAAAATACAACCATTATCTGCTAAATAAGCATACCTATATTAACATTTCCTTCAGTAGATCCATAAACTTCAGTAATTTGAGGAATTCTAAAACGTTCGACAAACGCAGACCAGATAGCAGGCCTCAACCCGTTTCCTATCATAAATTTCAAGTTATGCATTGTATCCTCTGGCTTGGGCGGGGTAGCAAGCATATAGCGACACATTTCACCGATATACTGTCCAATCTATAAAGTGAGAAAAATTGTAAATGACAAACCTACTCTTTAAATAAACGTGTAACTTACGGTGCACTTATATTTTATACAGTCCGAGATGTAAGCAGAGGCAGAAAACTTCACTCTAAGCACTGTTGTGAGCCCTTCTAAAAGAGCCGGTCCTACACCTAAAGCTCCTCCGGCAGTATGGTATAACGGTAAAGGGTTATAGATAATATCCGATCGTTCAGCATTGAGCAGACACATAGTTGCCATTGTTCCTAATATATACCTGAATTTATAGGTTAATAGTTTTTTAATAAAAGTCAACATTATTGTAAAAATTTAAAAGCTCAACAAAATACTTGGAAAATTCTTTTTTATATATTCGATTATTTGACATGACAATAGCTAATTATTGAGATTTAGCAACTGTGTGAAATAGATTTACAAAATCTCACACAATATTCCTCAACAACATTCCTAACCCTAATACGAACTGCTATTGGGTTCTATCCTGGAACCAACATGCCCAAATAAAAAGGTAGGAACTAAATACTCTTTGCACTACTCTATAAACTACTTGATGCAAATCTAACATCTAGGGGCAGTGGGGGCCGAGTGGTTCGGGCGTCTGTCTCATATTTGCCACACTACTGTTTCTGGGTTCAAATCCCGGCAAAGCCCATAGTTTTTTTAATGGATTTTAGTATGAAAAATGTATTGTAAAGTGGTTTGACCCCTCATCCACAATAACCAACGAGTAGTTTAACCTATATGACAAGAATTGCGTTACTACTGAAAATGATTTGGTCATATGGACTGGAATAATGGGGGGCAAGCTGAACCTACCAATTCCAATGAATTCAGTCCTTCCAATCCAAAGTCATCAGAAATTATAATTGACCCTCCAAAATGACCTCAACATACCCTTTGTAAATAAATGAATTTCCATCAATTTTTTTAAGTTCCACAAAACACTCTCCACCCTAATCCATAACCCAACAACTTTATAATCCCATCAGACAACTAAAGTGGAGATGGCCCTGGGACCTCCTTTCCAAGGATTAGCTCCGGAGTAAAGTTGGGAGAACTACAATGATTACCAACGCACCTTAACTACGTATTGTATTACAACATATTGTAAATATGTATGATAAAATACATAAAATATATTATTTTATATAGATGGAAAGGAACCTTTTATTAAAATATTTAAAAAAAAGTTCTAAAATAAATGCACAAAATAATAAATGAAAATAATTTTTTATTATTAATTAAAAATAAGTCATTTGGATTAATTCAGGTAAACAGCTGATACCTCAACTATTATCAAGGCATAAAAACCAGGTTCAGTTCAATCATAAAGAAAGTAAAAAAACTGTTTATAACATAGGGAGTATTATGTTATAACATAAACCATTTTATTTATTTAATGGCCATATGGTTTTTCATGTTACCCAGAGAAAGCTTGAAGATTGATTTATACTTTTTTTTGGAAGAGGAGCTTGAAAAAAAAAAAAAGGCCAGGAGCGGCAATGAGAATCGTACACATGACCACGGGGTCTATGAGCCCATCTCATACTAACAACTCGGCTACCGCAGTTCCCAAAGATAAACTTTATAATACTTGACATTTAACAAATTTTCATCAATTGACGGGGGTATTTATTGAACTTCACAATCTCTTTCTTCATTTGCTTATATTTAGTTCAGGATTAATAATGGAATACCTTTTCAACATTTTAAATTAATAAAAGGAGGGATTTCAATTAAAATATTTTAACACTGGAGACATTTAAAAAATAAATTAATACACTAGACAGTAACACTGTTAATATAATTTTTATATCTATAATTAAAAGATCCTATACAATAGGTTTAGTCTAAACTTTGTTTTGAAATGTCAAGGTTGAGGGGTCAGAAAATGTCAATTAATGCACGGGGAATCAAAACTGTGCCCAGTTTGGTCCTCTCTGTGAGAATGGCATTAAAACTGCCTTTTTAAAGCTTGACAAAAAAAAAGTCTTTGCCTAGTTTGTTCTAAACATATTTTGCAAAGTCCATTTATAGCCATTGAAAATATTTGGTCATTTGTTGCCTCGAGTGAACTTGGAGTTTTGATGAATTGCTTAAATATTACTCTTTCGAGTTAGATTAATTGTCCTGAGAGTTAAACTATACAATTTATAGTAAAATCTTTAGAAGTTTTGTCATTTATTTTCCAAATATTTCCGAGCCTTCTTTTTTAATATTACATCTATTTACCTAGAATGAGGGAGAATTGCAGCCTTAGGCATGCCAGTCGTACCAGATGTGTATATGTAAAGCAATTTATCCGTGTACATTATATCTTTTTTTTCTAACAGTTCGTTAGAAGTCTCTGCCATCAATTTCTCTAAGTTGATGACTTTGCTCGAAGTAGGATTACCGTTAGACTGATACAACTTCAGGTCGTTACAAGACTCAAGGACAACTGCAACAATTAATTCGATGCTTTTTCATTCCTTTTGAAAAGATTTATTTTATTAGCATTAAGCAGAGTTAGTAGCATTTTTTTTAAACTCAATGATTTTGTTTACTCTCATATTTTAGCGTTGATTGAAAAAGGATCAGGGATGAAGCCCTCATCTCCAATCCTTTTTCGATCAACGTTAGAATTTGAGAAGGCTGATCACAAAATAACTACATGTCCTAATCTAATCTATTAGGAATTGCATTTCAATTTGAACATATTGGGATGTTGAGTTAAAAAATATTTTTAAATATAAGCAAAAGAGTAAATAGCACCTCACCTTCAAAAAACTCATCAGCAAAAATTATTGCCTTGCAGGAAGCAGTGTTGACACAGTGTTTTAAAGAGGGCCCTTTTAAGTTTGTATTAATAAGGGCTGTTATGACACCAATTTTTGCCAGCCCAAGCCAAATGCTCACATATGCAGGGCTATTTTGCATCATTAGTGCAACAACGTCTTTCTTGGCAAACCCAGCTTTATGAAAAATGTTAGCTATTTTGTTGCTATATTGATCGACCTGAAACATATATTAAAATATGTGTTTACTTCCAAAACTGTGCAAGCAGTTTTATTATAATAACAAGATATTCTCACAAATATTCTCACTTTTGAAATAAGTAGTATGGCATCTAATAATTTCTCAAATTAGATTAAAGCTTCAAAAGTTTCCCCTTATTTTATACAGTAATTGACAACAAAATGAAAATAGATAAAAACATGTTGAAATTAAAAATTAAATTATAAAACTTCAATTTTCTTATATCAACAACAATATAATAAAAATTGGTACTAGGTACCCTAGAGGAATTCCTATTTTAGGGCTACCTGCCTTAATTTGATTAAAGAATGAATAAAAACAAGACTTGGGTAATCAAGAGAACTTAGTTAAATTAAATGTGGAGTTGTGCCTAATTGAACTATTGCATGTAGAGAATTGAGAGAACTATTGGTTGCTTGTAGAGCTATTGTTTAATTTGTTTTGAATTTTTCTTAAAATTAGAATAATAGTTGGACTGTTGACTGGACACTGCAGACTCCAGAGGCATATGCATAGACTTGGAGTGGTAGAAACAAGCCTGTGCAGCCCCCCCCCCATATTTCCCGGAAGAGGAAACAGTGAAACACACAACTATTGATGCGAAGGCCTATGTGGGCTGATTCCTAATCCTGGAAGAGGAAAAGCCAGGGCCTGGAGGATACACACGGGAGCCCTTGAAAAAGCTTTGGGGTCTGGTAAAAAGACTTAAAAGACTTATTAAAAAAAGGTGGAGATGCACAATAGACCAATACAAGTCGTAAAAAGGTTGGCTACTATATAAACCAATTCAATTGTATCTTCTTCTTAAGACTGATTCCTGATATTTTATTACTCGCCCTCCACCAAAGGGCTTTAAGTCTTAAATATATATCAGCTAAAGATGTAGCATCTTGGCACACTTTCTTGTAATCCTCTCCGTGGAGGGTAGAGGACGGTTTAAAGGTTGTTTAGAGGGTGATTAGTCAACAGTTTGGAGGCAAGTGAAACAATGGATAGGCAGGTCAAACCAAGATTAAATAGAGTAGGCAGTTTTGCTACTTCAGTTTTCTGGTGATACATTTTTTTTCTCACAACATGTGTTCTTACGAGGATTCGCTGTCGATGTCCATCACAGTAACCGTACATAACCATATGTGCCATCTTGCAGTACTAGACACCACATTATACAAATGGTGGAAGGACATCCTCCCAGGGTGTTCCAGGGTTTGATCTCTTACTTCCACGTGGCCTGGGTGTGTTAATCTATTTTTCATATTGTACCCTCATAGGGAAAAGGTTGTTGGACACTTGAGAGGACCAAGTGATGACCTTTACAAGATTCAAACTGCTAAAAAGACTGCTTGACAAATTATTATAACAAAATTAACATTATACCAATATTAACCAATATTATACATTATTATACCAATATTAACAAAAAAATATTATAAACTATCCTGCTAGCCCAACTATGGACATAAGGACTAGAATTATACGGAACCACTAAGAGTATCCATCTTAACAGACTGCAATCATTCCAAAATTCTTCAAACAGTAGTTGATGCTCCCCTCTAAAAGTCTCTAATGTAAAAATTCATTTGTATCTGACCTTCCCAAATTCTATTACTTTTCATTGTAAGTAACTCCAATTAATTATTGTTTTTATCTAAGGTTTTTGGCTGAGATGAAAAATTGGGGTCACAAGCGGGATTCGAACCCATGACCTTTGGCTTAAGTCAAACAGTTGTAGGTAGAGATGGGGAGTTGGTGTCCGAGTGGATCGAAGTCACGATAGCCCAAGTGGTTTAGAGCAGCGGCGTATTGAGCTGAAGGTTGTGGGTTCGAATCCTGCACATGACACTAATTTTTCTTCTCAACCAAAAACCTTAGATAAAAAGAATAATTAATATGGTCAATTATGACCTCTGAGCAAATAGGGATTAGTTGTAAATAAGACGTTAGCCATGTTACAATTTAATTGCCTAACTTCGGCAAGCGATCTCCACTCTGTTGGATGCTTACTGGATGGTCGCTGTTCATGCATATGTACTTTGTGTGCAAGTTCACAAATATACTCATTGTTTGAACATTTTTAAAGTGAAGTTGTAAATGATTATATTAATTTTTTTAAAGGATTGTTTAAACGCAAATATAGAACATACAGATCTAAATGGAGGAGGAAAAAAATGTTTGGCTTAGAGTTACAAGGCGTTTAGTGCACTTGTTACCCACAGAGTTTTGGTGCAGATTCAATATTTAGACGGGGTATCGGTCGACTGGTCATGCAACGGCAGACGACCGGAGGAGACTTACATCTTTATAGGTCCATACTTCATCTCCTAGGACGTAAATCGGCCTGTCCGGATTTTTGAGTACGTTCTCTTGGAAGACGGAGACGACGGTCTTGTTGTCCTTTTCGTAACTCTTCGTATTCGAGACAAGCCTCCGCATCCTGTAGAGGAACCTGGGAAAGGAAGGAAAGTCTTAAGAATATGAACGCCTCCGGCCGGCGGTGGAGCCGTTTTTACCTCACGTCCCTCGGGAAAGTCTTGACAATCACATAGACTCGCCTCCACTTCCAGAGTAGTACGATCGGGATCGCCGCCAGCAAAAAGTTCTTGACGCCCATCGCGTAGGCGACCCCGACCAAAATCGGCAAAGGGAGGCCGACGGAGAGAAAGCTCATTTTTTCTCCGACCGCTCGACGTCTCACGGGTCGCGGATTAACAAATAAGACCGATTATTGGTTTCGCCCGGTTACCCTTTTGGACGACGGCATGACCTTTTCCTCGTCTCTTTCTCTTTTATTTTCCACTCAATTTTGCCGGCCCTAAAACATGACCATTTATCGAATTTTGCTCCCCGGTAATTGCAAAAAAATGGTTCGAAAGAAAATCGTGGCTTTGTTTTTTTGTTTTTTATTTTATTAATGGAACATAGGACTGGAGTTAACCTTCTGAAATTGTTTATACTCAATAACCCAATACACGGCCATCTATGGCTCGAGAACCGTAGGAAGAAAAGCTCCCGCTCATAATTCAGAAAAAACAGAAATTTAAAAGTATTTGTAAATAATGTTTTTAGTGTGTTCCAGGTCAATTTATTCTCGTAAAATTCACTGAAATCACGGTTTCCTAACATTTTACCCATTCCAACCACGCGTTTCCATCTTTCCAATATCAACTTCCTTACATATGAATGTTTCATTATTCTGCGTTATTCAAGATTTTTTTTTATTTTCTTGCCTATTTTAAGAATTTTGACGGTCAATTGTATTATTTTGGAATTTTTTTATGTTTATGTATATCATTGTTAAGTTTTACTGTAACATATAAGATACACATATATTTTGGCAGTTATTTTAAAAAAGCAACTATGCTTAAATAGTGTATTTCAAGTACAAGGTCATATCAGCCCATGGGGTGACGGCGTTTTTGAAACAAATCCCATTTGTAGGCTGGATTTATAAATGGAGGAATATGTTGTTCAATCTTTATTAAAAGATAGTTCCTGTTCATAGTTAGTTGTTATCAACGATCCAGATTTCAAGCTAACAGTTCAGGTTGAAGTCATTTACAATCAGAAAAAGAATTCCTCCAACTAATTAATTCTTTACACCGTTATATAAATTTTACACTGCAAATTAAAACAGATGATTGTTTAAACCCTTTAGACTTAAAACTGTGCATATTAAATAACCTAATTGAAATAGACGACTAATTGAAATAATAACTACAGACACTATGATACCAAGATGCTGGTTTCATTTCTCTCATAGACTGTATTGTTCAAACTTTAATTAACACGTGCTAAATATACCAAAGAATTACAAACTATTAAAAACCTTAGCTAAAAACAATGCATATCAAGAAATATTTACTGATAGGGTGCTATCAAAAGAAAAAAAATTATTAATGTGTGGTAGTGACCGTTAATTAAAGATTATTTGGAGATTGTTAGATGGTGTGGCGTAAGTTTAGAAAAACATTTTCTTTATCATGCCAATGTTTCAATCTTTATTAAGATCATATTCAGGGCCTGGGATTTATAAACATTGTTTAAATTATACAATTACACGTAAGTTGTAGAAATTGAATCTAAAGTTTCTATCATTGTGTAAATTCATTTTTTCCACATCTTACATGTAAAAGTGTTTGTATATTTTAAACAAATTTACAAATTTCAGGCCTGAAGATGATCTTTAAGTGTTTGTGTGTCAATAATGAACATCTACACAGAAAACAAACACTGAGCCCTGAAGATTATCTCAAATAAAGATCGAAACGTTGGCACGATAAAGAAAATGTTTTTCTAAACCTACATCACACCAGACTGCATCTCACGGTCTCCAAATAATCACTAACTAACAGCCACTAAACACCACACTAATTTATAATTCATTTTTTACAGTATTTATTAATATAATATATATTTGTGTTATAATTCTCACTTTTCGCATGTTCAAAATTGAGCGGCATTAAAAACCATCTTCTCATTGGAAGGTCGCATTGGCGGGGGTATCGGCGGGTTCACTTTTGCAATTCATGTCGAGAGGCGTGGTTGTCCTCCAACCTGATGATGAGCTAAGGGCTCGAAATCCGGATCGTTGGAAAACAACTTACTGTGAGTAGGAACTATTTTTTTAAAAAGATTACAAAGATGGTCAACTGCTGTTTACGCCACAGAAAATCTTGATCGATGAAATGATAATATGATGATAAATAATGACTTATAAAATAATCAAATTAAGTAATTTAAATTTAATTAATTTTATCATTAATTTACTAATCTAATATTAAGGGTACATTTTAATTAATAAAAATAAATTTATAAAAAATAATAATTAAANGGGTGACGGTGGGAATCGAACCCACGACCGCGGCGTGAGAGTCTCTCATGCTAACCACTCGGCTACCGCGGTCCCCATATAATATTTAATTGTGTTATAATTCCCACTTTTTGCATGTTGATAATTGAACAGCATTAAAAACCAGCTTCTCATTGAAACGTCGTGTTGGTTCATTCTTACAATTCGTGTCAAAAGACGTGGTTGTAAATTCCTTCAACCTGATGATGAAATCCGGATATTTGAAAACAACTAGCTGTAAGTAGGAACTTCTTTTTTAAAAAGATTGGGACCTTTACTCTACGGTGATGACCGCCGTGTCAACGCATAAAACTTTGTGGCCACTGATGCCCCTCAATCCCTTAGTTTAAATTATTCATTCAACCAATATACTAACATTCATTAAGGTGAAACAAAAATATAAAAAAGGTAAGAAATTCAACAGTTTCTAAAAATATATATTTTTTAATAAAATAATAAAAATATTTAAAGTGTCAAAGCACCTCTGTTACCTATTAAATTATTTACATTTCAAAAATAAGTACAATCACAAATATATATCTCAAACAATTTAAAAAATTGTAACCTTTATTTAAAATGTAAAACATATATGTAAAAAGTCTTAACCTATAAAACTATAAAATATAATCGAGGGATGGAACTATACATACATATTATCTTACTTTACAATCACAAAGTTTATCCTCATTTGTACATTCTTAAGTACTGTAAAAAACTAAATTGTCTTATTTGATCAATGATAATACACGTAAACAAGATCTCTAAAACTTAACATCGATGATAATGTACATTACAATTCAGAACGATTCAGAAGAAAATCAGGACCAAACCGTATAGTCTTTAACAATACATAATTTTTGTATAAATAATAAAGAATGTCAAATACTTTAGTATAACCAGATGGTACTCGTTTCACATACGGATCTTTCCCTTTTCGATGTTTTCATACACTTCACTTGTAAGAGGTTCGTAATAACTGCTTGACCCCAAGTAGTAAAGTTTGTCGCTGATGACATTAGGGTCGAAGCCCTCTTTCTGCAAGTCCAACTTTTTCATTTTGTAAGTGCCTAAAGGAAAAATGAATAATTTTCAATAAATCACATTTAGCTCTAGCTAGCAACAAATAGTTTGTAAAATATGAAAATGAAACGAGACTCACCAGTCATTTCAACTTCTCCGAGTATCCTTATAAAAATTGGTCTAGCGTAAGCAGGCAAAGCTTTTTTGATACCGTCTGCAAGTTTGTTCATATTAAGAGTGTGGTCCTTATCTACAATCGCTGCCATTCCTGCTCTTCCCTCACTTCCAGGAATCTAGCAATTATAGTTTTAAGTTAGCAAAAAATGTATTATTTTCATAAGCAAATTATATATACCTCGACTCCATACACAACACAGTCTTTAAAATCAGCGAGATTGCTAACAACACCTTCTACTTCAGAAGTAGATACATTTTCACCTTTCCACCTGTAATTTATTATAAATTTTTATAGAAGGATTTTTTTTTTTTTCAAATAGAATTTAATGTTAGATTTAAGTAGCAACTGTACCTAAATGTATCTCCAGTTCTATCTTTGAAATAAAGATAGCCAAATTCATCTGAAACTACTATGTCACCTGTAAAAAGATAAAATATCAAACGTTAATATTGTTCCCCTTTTTAGTTACTCCCAATGAGTTTTTCTCACCAGAAAGGAAAGCGGAATCCCCTTTGACGAAGACATCTTTGACAATCTTTTTCTCGGATTCTTTTTCATTGACATATCCTAAGTAAGCCCTAGCGGGATTAGACGGGATTATCTTCCCTATAAACACGCCTGGCTCACCTATAAACACCCAAAGTAAAATGTGATGTAAAACGTGTTTGTGGCTATTGATTTGTTGTACATTTAAACGTTAAATATTGGACGTGTGCATAAGTTTTGTTTTGTTTAAAAAAAGTTACTTTTCACTTTTTGTAAATTGCAAAAAGAAAAAACTATAATTACATATAATATTTATAATTTATAATAAATAAATATTAACACCATTAATTACACATAAATTTCAATGGGCATTTGTCACTCTATGCACGAGATCAAACTCTTATAGAAAGCAATGCTCCAAATGAATTTTGTCTGCTTCTGTGATTACAAGTCGCATTTTATTCTAGAATGACATTATCTTCCTTTCTTAACATTTTTTTTAAATAGGACTTTTCCCACCCTAGAGCTAAAGGTACATCTACACTTGCACTTTCATGTTTAATTTGCACTTCAACTTGTCTCTAATGCATGCAGCTAATTGTCCACATTAATTTAATCTTATTCTTTAGTCAACTTGCCTTCAGTAGAACTACATAATTTAACTTCAAAATCAAACTTAAAATTACTGGGTTGTTAACTTTATTAAAGTTACTGGATAGAAATGGATTCATCGGATGCCACTTTACTTGTGCAGCTTTTCTAGTCATTAAAAAATCAAAACAAAGGTGGAATAAGTGATGGTGTGTATGGATGAAAGAATATTTCAAATTTTGGCAATTATGAAAGAACTGGATGTGGATAAACGTGTCCTGTTTATAAAATGAACTTTTGCAAGCTTCTGGAGTTTGTTAAGTCACAAATTGAAAAGCATAATACACATTTCAGAGATGCTATCCCTGCTGATATTAACATAGTGACAACTCTCAGATATTTGGTACTGGTAATTTGTGCAGGTCTTTGATGTATTTATTCAAAACAATTTATTTCAGCAATGTTACCTGAAGTGCTAAAAGCTGTAATAAAAGTACTACATAATAATAAAATTTATTCATTTCATTTGGAATATGTAATAAACTCACATATTACAATTAACTTCAAATATATCTTATAATAAGAAACTATAGAAAAATACTATTCTTATTAAATAAATAAGGTTGAGAGTTATTTTTGAATTGTACAAACTAGTGTTTTGCAAATCAACCAGCCCTTTTGTCGAAATCAAACACTGTAGTAGTGGGAAATGAAGTCCCACTAGAGAAAATGGGAAATGAAGGAATGACCGCTAAATTATCTCTGTCAACGCTGTGATGGGGGCCTTGGTGAAGTAAATGGAGAAGTAGCAGATATGTTCATTTCCAACTCGTACAAGAAGTTGCTGATATAATTGTTTGACAGAAGCTTATTAATAATGGGTGATTTAAGCCTCACAGTAAAGTGCTTTTTTGATAATGTTCATTAAAAAGTAATGTTTGTTTTGTGGAAGATATGAAAGTGCAACGTTTAATGCACGAAAATTCACTAGCCCTGGAACTATGTTCGTCATGGGTTGCTCTAGTTGAATGGTGTTCAATTCATATACCACATGCGCTAATTCCTCATGCAAAAAAAGGTAGACATACCTTAACAGGGCTAGCAGGTAATAATGAACAAACTTGCATGCCACACCCTGCTATACAATATTACATTTAAATTTCATAACGAAAAATTGCTTCAAAGGTGAAAGCACGTTATACTGCTAATAAATTTATTAGAAGAGAAAAATTTACCTGGCTGACAAGGGATACAAAGTCCTTGAGCGTTTCTTACAGGCTCGCCAGTCAGTTGGTCGACTCTGATGATAGAAATCGGGTAGACTGATGGAATTATTCTAGACACAAATCCAATAGCTCCAACTGTATTATCAATATTTGCTGTAAATAAAAGGTTTAAGTTTTATTAGCAACACCAAAAAACATTGTTTTTAAAATATTAAAATATATATTTTTTAATTTTTTTTTAGAAATTGCTTGGCTTTACAAACATTATTTATTTATTATTTATTTATTTTTTTAAAGAAATTGTTTGGCTTGCCATGCTATTAGAATGCTTAAGCTACTATTTTATTAGTCAATGGCTTCAACAATCTACATCTGAATTTACATTATCAGTAAAGGTGTAAAAACCATACCAATATTGGCGTTTCCTTCAGTAGCTCCATAAAATTCAGCAACTCTAGGAATGTTGAACCTTTTGACAAATTCTTTCCAGATCTGTGGCCGCAAACCATTGCCAAAAATTATCCTGATCTTGTGTTGGGTATCAGTGGGTTTCGGAGATGTAGCAAGAAGATATCTGCACATTTCCCCAATGTATTGAGTCACCTATTATAAAAACAAAAACGACCCTTTTTATTCCAATATAAATCGGTTAATTTAATATATTTATAATTTGACTGTTTTGTGTAGCAAATGTTCAAGTAAAGTTTAAACAACAATGTAACTTTAGACTTACTGTGCAATTATATTTTACAATATCGGTAAAATATGATGATGCGGAGAATTTTTTTCTAATAACCACACATGCACCATACACAATAGCTTGTCCTACAGACATCGCACCTCCTGCTGTATGATAGAGAGGCAATGGAGTGTAAAACCTGTCACTTCGTTTAAACCAGACTTGGTAACTGATTGCTCCAGCCAAGAAGACATACCTGTCGGGTTAAAATCGTGTTAAAAAATTGTCAGGAAAGATCATTTAAAAACCTACCTCGCATGAGTGATAACAGCAGCTTTGGGCAGACCAGTTGTGCCTGAAGTGTAAATATAAAGCAGTCTATCGTGGAAGTTGATATCATCGAGATTCAATGGTGCTGAACTTGCTTCTTTCAACAATTTTGTCAACTGTCTCTCACCCATTTCACCTCTTGGCAGCCTCGGTTCACCGTATGAATAACTATACAATCTAACGCTGCTTAGATTTGATTGTATTTCTTTAACAACTAAAATTAATTTATTATAAATAAAAATAGGCTTGCAGGGCATAATTTTTTATAAGAAAAAAGTTACCATCGGAATATTCTTCTCCAAAAATAAATGCTTGACAGTTAGCTACATTGATAGAATGCAAAAGAGAATTTTGCTGTAGATTATTATTAATCAAAGCAGTTATTACTCCTATTTTGGAAAGTCCAAGCCAAATACAGACAAACTCTGGCCTGCTTTCAAGCATTAGACCGATAGTATCGCCTTTACGATACCCATGGCTTTTAAAAAGGTTTGCGATTTTGTTACTGTAGTCTTCTACCTGTAATACAATCATTATTATTATCACAATTATCAAATAAAAAACAATATTTTATAATTTACACTTACTTCTTTCAAAGTCCACTCCCTATCTTCAAAAATAAAACACACTTTGTTCGGGTTTTTAGCAACATTTTCTCTGAAGATTTCTCCAATACACATATTCCTTTTGGACAGTCTTCTGACACTCATCAGGAACAGCAGGTATCGTAAAAGGGCCCTAAATTATAATCAACATAAAATGGCATTAATTTTTTAAAAGTTTACATAAAAACGTCTTATTATTAAATTAAACATGACTGTTGGTAATTATATAATATTCATTGTGACCAGAAACCAATCAAGTGAATAACTTAACGACAAAAGTAGTTTTTAAAAAAGATTTTTTGAATAAGAGTTTGTAAAAAATGCAAGCTATTCTCATGGAATAATAACTGAGTAATGAAATGTGAACAAAATAGTTAAAAATTTTCCTTAATTATCTCTAACATTTAACAGAATAAATTTTTACGGCAATCATAAAAAATAATGCAGACGGCTTTTGTGATTGACAAAAAACGTTCATAACCTTAAGCTGTCCTTGTCACAGAAATTAATCCTACAAGACAATCAGCAACCAATTTTATATAATTTCCTTTTCCTTTTTACCTTGAATAGGTAATTTCTCATTTAATCTATGATAGTAACTTTCATGATGTATTGTGGTGTATATGCTAATCACTTTAGATTACTCATACAATTATCAGTTAAAACATACCCCGTTTGGGTACAGTTAAAACTACCCTTTGGGTATTGTGAACGAGGGGTCAATCCTCTTTACAATTATTTCACCATATGCTCAATTAAATGCCATGGTGTATGCCAAGGATTCAAACCCAGAATCACTACCACAGCAAGCACAAGTCACCTTAACCACTTGTTTCCCCTTCTTAAAAGTAATATATATATTTGTAGTATTGAGGGCTGAGAGATGGATGTCATCGGAGTTAAAACTGAGTCGATCAGTCAATAGGATTTCCCTTTTTTCCAAATCTGTCACCGGTTTTAAACTAACATTTATTAACTGCCTAAAATCCACAAAGGAGGTATCTAGGCCAAATCCAGACACTCTCCCTCTAAGGCTTGCCCACTACATTAAATTCCTAAAAACCTCTTGAATGACCAAAGAAGTATTGCTTTAACTTTTACTTATCCTCATTCTAACTGTAAAATACAGTTTATACAATATTCCTTCTCTCGATATTTATATTTCCATCAGGGAAAACATTTGGCAAATACAGTTTAGTTTACAGAAGACTAAATTGTAAAGTGGTATTGTTAGTTGTCTCCATTTTCTATCAATCTAACAAAATAATTAACAATAAAACCATCATTTATGGTTGTTTTACTGTTTTATTAAGTTTTAATGACTTGATCAGACTACTGTTTATTAAAAGGACCAAAAGGATCGATTTGTATTATAAATTTTAAAAATATCAGTAGAAAAAGGTTAAAAGCATGAAAAAAATTAAATCCATGTTGAAGATAGTTTATTAGTTGGAAGAAATATTGGTCAAATTTGGCACCCAAAACGTTATTTTCTTAACAAAAACGAGATCATCTGAAAACCATGATGAATTCAGAGTATTATAGGTATTTTAATTAACAAATCATTACTACAGATTACATTACTATTAATAATCGATACAAATTTGATTCAATCTCAACTTCCAAATACAAAACCATCATAATCTAGAGGCTGATTTTTGATTTAAGATAAAACGGTTGATTTAGGACAAAATAATGTCACTAATTAAGAAACAGATGCTGAGTAATGAAACTAAATTAAATCTTATTTCAATGTATTATCATTATACAATAATTATCTCAGTTTTCTGTTTAAATCGATTAAATTTAAATAATCAGGTTTGAGATAAGATTTTGAAATGTCTAATTTGTGGAGAAAGCCAGTGAAGAAGGTGAAAAAATAATCAAAATAAATTGTGATCACAAATGTTAATAGTATCTTGAAGAAAATTGACAACAAATTTAACTGGGAAGTGACTGTACACTATAACTAATACAAGTAAGTGAGAGTGCATGGCGGAGAGTAGATTTCTCCACTTTCCAAATTGCACCAAGATGGTTCTTACATGTCATCAAGTGTCAATAGCCTTTCTTTGGTTTCTCCAAATCATTAAATATGATTAAAGATGATAAATTTTAAAATCTCCACTGTTGAATATGTCGGTTTTAAGAGTTGCTGTTGGTGTGAGCAATTTTGAAGAAAAATTCAAACAGTTGATATATAAGAAAGTAACAACCATTTCAGATCACAAAATTTGTTCAATGAATACTAAACAGAAAAATTATAATAAATTGTTTTGTTGAATTATGCTAAGGTTTCTATTAAATATTTATTTTGAATAATGGTTTATTAGCTATTTATAAAATGCACTATTAGTTTTGTCGCTCGATTGGTGGCATCCTTTTCAAGTGTTTCGTTGAAGCTATAACATATTAAATTTTTTTTAAAACTAAATATACTTTCTATTAATTTTTCAAAAAATTGCAATACTACATATTTACACTTAAACATTATTACATTATTTTCTATAATTTTTTTTTAACTGTTCAATACTTAAAACTTATAAAATTACTTATATCCTATATAACAGGTTATGTCTAAATTTTTTAAAAACTTTTCTTTTTTTTCTTTATATCTATTGCACTTACATTAAATGATTCTGTTAACTTGTATTTGTCTTATTGCTGGTGTTCATTTCCTACCAATTCGTTCCCAATATCTTAATCCGACATGTGTTTGATCCTTTTTTGTAGAGGCAGCAACGATGGAGATGCGAAAAAAAAAGGACCAACACGTGTCAATTGAGATATTGGAACACCAAAATTAAGGCAAATACAAGTTAACTGAAGCATTAAATGTTTGTGCAATTGATATAAAGAAAAAAGAAAAGTTAATAAACCATTATTCAAAATAAATATTTATTAGAAAAATTATATGTATATATGTATAATTATTATTATTATGAATTGTTAAATATTGTACTATATTAGTTTTGAGTACTTAATTATTATTTTTTTATAGTAAGCAGGCAGGATTAGAGAAGCATTACAGGCATTTATACCAGCCACTGGCCTGTTAACTTTCATCTTAAGAAGATGGGAAAAACTGAGACGTAAACGGCTTTGTCAGGAGGAATCAGAAACATTCACACATATCCTTTGTGTAATGTAATGCGTTAGCCTGTTTACAGTGCAGGGACTTTGGTAGAAAATTTCCCATACCAAAGGAGATCCAGGAAGAGACACCAAGAAAAGTACTCAGTTTTATAAGGAATAGAGCACCTTCCAAGGTATGACTTTAAGTGGTTCCACATTAGACTTGTTTAGGTCGCAATGGTGGAAAGAATTGTCTTCTGCATTAACCCCTCAAATCTATTTAAAAAAGAAAAAGAATCAATATTATATGGTATTTCCCTAGTGGGAATTTTATAGTAAAAATATTGTAGCCATTGCATACAAAGTTGAAAAAAAAAACTTGCGATTAGGCAAACTGCGTCGCAAACGGATTTCAAAACGATAAATCCAAAATAATTCGATAGGCAGGATATGATAATTTGTTCCCAAGCGAGAACATTCTCCAAACTACGCAGATTAAGACACCTCCGTGTTCAGAACAACCGTCCATTTCGGCCTAATTCACATTTCAAAATCGAAGCGATCGAGAGAGAAAAAAATAGTCAAAAATGTCCACGCTATTAAATTTCTAGTTGAAATAGATCGAATCGGCGAAACAAATCCCATCCTAAAATACTAAAGGATGAGAACGTGCTTCTACTTTTATATATGGCTATTTATTTGTCATTTATTCCGAGAAAGTGATAAAATATAAAACAAACTTGAAAGGAAGGGTTTGCTTGCGGCGGGTGGACTTTATTATCTCAAACTTATCCATTTATTATGGAACCGTCGAGGTCCATTGTCCTACAATATTTAGGATTAAAAAGATGATGTGTTATAAGAACCCTGCTAGCTATAGCAATATGTATTCAGATTTCATCTTTTGAAGTTTGAATAACTAAGGGTGGAAATAAAGCACACTCGACAAGATTCTAACAAAAAGCCACCCCATGTGTGAAATCGTTTTACAGTTTTCGAAGAACTGGGAAACGTAATATTAAAAATTACAAAACATTTAAATAAAATAAACTTGTTAAAACGACATTTATGCAAAAACAAAACTACAACAAATAGTAGCGTGAGAATGTTGCGTGACACATTTTCACACCGCGAAAATTGGTCCAAACGAATCAATAATAAATACAAATATTTTATAAACGAAGTTTTAAAATTTACTATTTATTTGTAAGCAACACTTTTTCATCTGAATGCCAGGTTATCTTAACGATTTCTCTACTCAAAATTATTTACTTGACGAAACATACGCGCCCTGTAATCAAAATAAAAGTTTGCAGAAACGTAAGAATAGTTAATAATTAAATTATAAGATCGCAGGGAAAATGAAATATTTACATCAAAAATATCGTTGTTTTTTTAGCGGCGTGTAAATCTCGTCGGCAAACATTTTATGCAAATTGTTTCTGTTTTAATGACGAGAAAAGTTCATAAATTATTCTAATATTTACAACCAAGCTAGGAAAGTTTCAAAAATTGTTGAGCAAGAATAAATAATTATTTGATCATAATTAGTCAGACTTTTGACAATAAACACCGGAATCATTAAGTCTCAAGGAAATGTACCATGTGGAGAAAAACTATTATTAAGTAGTAATACAAACTTTACGTTATAAAATACAAACTATACTCATTCAATGAATAAATGGTGTCTCGAATTCGGGAAGATAGTGGATATAAATGAAACCATTAACAACTCAATTTTAGTAGGTATCTGGTCATAAATGTTAATAGACTTGTGAAATTTCTTCTTGAAGTTTGCGAAAGGTCAGGGGTAATTTACAGGGAGATGCAAGACAATTACATTGCTAGGATGGCGAAAATATGTTTGTCAGACTTTAGTTATCGTTTTTATTTGCAGTACAGCTGAATACAATAAGGTGTCAGGTCAAAAATCATAAGTGTAAATAAAAGGTCGGGGTATAAGCAGGGAGAGACAAGATGACCAAACTACAAATAGCGTACTCGTCGTTATCGTTTGGAAAATGCCGTAGTGGTTATTTTTTCTTAATTCTATCTTAATTCTATAATGTACATGTTCGAAAGTTATAAATATAACTTGTGAAATTTCTTCTTGAAAGGTTTGCGGAAGGTCAGAGGTATAAGAAGAGAGAGAGACAAGACAACAAATCAATCGCTAGGATACGAAAATGTGTTTGTCAGACCAAAATGATCGGAAATGACCAAACTGCAGTATAACCCGTCGATCGCCGAATTGTATACATAACAAAACCAAAAGGGAACCAAATTCGGAACGAATTAGTTTTGCGTTTGTATAACTAAATTCTGGAATCAGAAATTTGGCCAAAAGTGTGAGATTTCTTCTTAAGGCCTGCGTTAGGTCAGGAGTATAAGCAGGGCGAGGCAAGACAAAACCTACTGCATGGCGAACACGCGCCTGTCATACCAAAATTAGGTCCATCGATCAACGTAAACTACAAAGCTACAAAAAATGTAACCAGTCAATTAACAAATTGGTTACTTACATAAAACCAAAAAGCCAGCCTGAACCCAATCCGAAAGAAATTTTTTTCGTCTGAGAAAATTAGCGTTTGGAAAATGCCATTTAGTAATTAGGTTTTTGTGTATTGAATGGTTTATTGTGAAGAAAAACTATTTATTGATTACTTTTTTCTTGAGGTTGGTTGGTTATTTCCCATCATTTTGGTCTGCCTATCCTCGCTGTTTTATTTATTTGTCAGTATTTTTTAACAGCCTTGAGTTTCCACATTAGCCTATTGTTTTCTATTAATTGAAATAAAGTATGTTCATTGAGTTGAGAGGGCCATTTCACTTGCTCAAAGATGGACATGACCCGAAAGAAAATGTTCTTAAAAAATGTAAACAAACCCGTTTAAATTTCTTTGTTTGCAGCCCATTAACGTGGTTTCAATAGAATTGTCATTTCAAATTATACATTTTAGACAGTTGGGGTAGAATGGACAGTTTCCCCTTGCCAAACGTAAAAACGCACTTGAGCACTACGACGTTATCACGAGTTTTTTTGTTGATCATTCTCCTAGCAGAGCTGCATTTGCATTTGAGTGTGAAGGCCAAAAAGATCTCTTAAGTGGAAACGCCCTTTGAAAATTGGCCACGTTCAAGGTTGAAACTTGCGTCGATACGAGCAAGGGGTTTGATGGAATTTACGTCAAGACCTCACGGGCCCCATAACCCTTGCTAACGTATTGTGTACAGGGTGTTACTGTGTTAAATGTCAATACCTGCCTTGGCGGATTCACTAAATGAAACGTAGTTCAGTGCCAACAGAACAAGATTTCTATCTTGACTCTTCCCTGAGATATTAACGTTTTTGCGATTTTAGTCTAAAATCAGTCGTTTTTTTTACATAATATCATAAATGCTCAACCTAACCATCCCTAACTGCATTAAATTTTCAATGTGGCTCGTGCAATGGCTTTTCCATCAAAATATTCGGGGATTTCACCAAACTTGCCTATTTTATACTCCAAGGACATACTCACTTTTACCTTTTTTTTAAACTTTTCTAAGTGAAATCTCCTTTGCAAGGTTGATTTACCACGCGTATTTGTTTCTTGTAATAGGACATTAACAAATTTAGTACTCCATACATTTGTAGATGCAGTTACCCTTGGTCAAAGAGAAGGCCTCGGTCAAATCTGTCACGATTTGTAGCACAGTGTTTATCGGATTGTTAGAACAGAGTCAACTAGCTGTAAAATAGCAATTTGAGGTAGGTAGTAGTTGTAGGCCTTATTCACTGGATGAATAAATAACCTATCCGTTAATAGTAATTTCCGAAACGCTCCAATTATTTCAGCCTTTGCCCAGTGCAATCTGCACGATTGCATCCGTTCGTAAATGAAAGTGGCAAGTCGTTAAACGGACAAATTTAGTGGTAAATAATACTCTGCAGACAAGTCATACAATATAGGATGTGTTTCTCAACATAAAGCCAACCAAACTTTCACTACTTTGATTTTCTCCGACGTAGAATAGTTGTTTTCTTTCTTCCTCAGATAAACATGAAGACGTGTCGTTAACGTTGACCTTCATGATCTGTGCACAGAAAACAGACTAACTCGCACAGATCACACACTATACTTTGAATTCTGGATATCACAAAAAAACTAGGTTGCTTAGGCAAGATTTGAAATCTGTGTCACCTATACGATTTTTTGTTAACTGTTCTTTTACCAGTCACATTTCTTCACGAAGACGCTAATTCTCTTCCGATAAGGTTTTATTTTCTTCCCTCAATATGGCGATATCTTCTGTGCCAACGTCTGTAACCTCGACCAGGAGTTCCTTCATTAATGTGGCCATTGGTTATAAAAACTCTTTTTTGGAGAGCCGAGTTTCTGACGTAGAAGAGTGATAAAATCTTTAAAAATATGAGACTTCAATGCTTTGGTTTTAGAATAAATATTCTTCTTAATCAATTGTTTTTAATAGTCGTTTCAATTGTTTTACTTAGGGAAATCCTTCCCATTTTGGGCTTAAGCCAATATCCTGTCAGAGTGAAATGATATCTCTCATCCCTTTTATTCTTGTATAAATCTATCTATAAATAAGATTTGGGTTATTTTTCCGTGAAAGAACGGTTGACGGTATGCCACAACTTTAAGCACACGGTGAATATAACTAACTCCTATGAGAAAGTTTAAAAAGTCAGCCGTTCATTGTTCAACGGTGTCGCACGCACTTTCCGATTTGTGAACAAGAGGAAATGTTGAGCGTTGAAATAACGTCCTTCATTCTTTTTTCGTCCTTGGGGTTTGTTGTTGAGGAAAGAGAAAGACGTTGAGTAAACCCAGAGATGATCGATAATGAACAAAACGGTAGACCGAATACGCCATTATAGAAAATTCAGGAAAAACTGGAATTAAGCAAATCGCTTTATCGTTCATTTTTCTCAGCTTCTTTTCTCATTTAACTTACACCTAGATGGGAATCGATGCGACGGATGGCCTTGAAATAGGAAAAATATCATTCCTTTCAGGAGAAATCTTGATAAGTAGCATTATATAAAGGGGGTTGGTTGTGGGCTGTGGCTGTACGTACAGTAACATCTCGATATGGGAACAAGTCTGGCATTGATCGAGTTCGGAGGAACTAGGATATAAAACCTTTTTATAGTTTTTTACCATTTTATAACTGCATAGTTGCAATAGAC